TGAAACTTCTATTTCGGGACTTTGGCTAATAACGCGCCAATGGAAGAGTCGAGCTTGCGTGGGAGGGGGAGCTTTTTTTTATTTTATTACTTTTTTCAAGTTTTGCGACATCGAGAAAACTACGGAAGTGATGGAATTTCATTGATTAAAGCAGACAATGTAAAGGGAGGAAAAGGTGAGATAGGGGTAAGGGGTGGAAGAGAAAAAGAAATACGTCAGGGGAGAAACGGAAAAGTTACAAAAATAATAAATCACCAAAGTAGCGGTCGGGGAGCGAAATAGTAAATAAAGTGTAATGCCCCTTGTTTTTAAAGTGCGCGTCATTAGAAGGAAAGTACTTAAGAGCGCGATATTTATCGTCTTTTTATCTCTCGGGTCGGGATAAGCGCACTCGGCTGTACACTATCACTTTTCAATGAAAACAAAAAAAAACTGGGGCACCTTTTTTCCCCAATCCCCTCGAGCTGCGAAATTCACCCACGAAAGTTAATTACTACGGCTCGTGTGTCGATCCGCTAAAAAGCTCACAGGAGCAATGTATCGATTCAAAGACGAAATTGTCACAAACGTCGTCAACTCAATGCGACGCGATAAACTTACGGACAATGATATCACAACTCAAATGAAAAATTCCCTGCGCGAAATATCCAGCGACTGAAACGATGATTCTACGACAATCGTCCAGCTGCTCGCATTAATAATCAACGCCGTGAGCCAAAGTACTTGGGTACACACAAAAGACCGTCGTTAAGGAAGACAAACGATCGGGGCAGTCTTTTGGGAAAACCGCGCACGCGAGCGTGTGTACACCTTCGACCGATCGATGCAACCGAGCCCGCGAACTATGGGGGGAAAAAAACAAAGGGGGTCCCGATAATTGTACACATAAAAGTTAATCAACGCCAGTCACGCGCTCGTTAACCCCACATATGTATATACATACACGTGAGTGGAGGGGCGCGGTTGGTTTTCAATAATTCATCGATGTCGAGTAACGTCACGACTGTCAGCACCAATTGAAAGACTCAAACGCGCCCGCCGAGCCTCGTCGGTCGATGATAATTCACTCTGTCACGAGTGACGCGACTTCCACGAAGACGGGACCCAGTGGATGTGTGTGCGCGACCTAAACCATCGCAGGAGGGCAATTGGTTTTCCGTGAAAGCGAGCTTTCCATAAACCATATCGGATACGAGGCTTTTGGCGCGAGCTGGATGTACCCATTCGTTAGGAGTGGGCCTCTTCCAAGTTGGAACGAGCTCGGGGGCTTTGAGTAATTGCTCGCTACTTAGCGCGCGCGACCTGCCAGGAAATTGCGTTGGGAAGGGGCGAGCTTTCTCCCCCCCTTCCCCCTTTATGTAGGTGAGCGCGCCGTCAAAAGGGTGTGCAGGAAGTTTCGCGAGCTGCAAAGTTGATTAAAGGGAAGGGAGGCATGCGTGCGTGTGTGGGTCTGTCGTTACGACGGTGAGGACATCATGGAAATTATTCCTACTTTTTCGACTTCTCGAGGGTTTTTTCTATTTCTTTTGTTTTTTTTGCTTTTTGCTCGAGTGGTCTTTCGCAAAATTTGCCTAACTTAAATAATTTTCAACAATTTTCAATTGAACGATGATCCAAGTCGCGGAGAACCTGCAGATTCGTGAAAGCCATGAGCAATTTGAGGAAGAAGTTCTATCTGGAGATTTGTAAAAGATCTCACTTTCCTTAAACTACATCATGATAATCTCAACTGCTCCCTTTTGATGTCTAAATCGTATCCCTGTCACATTACCTAACAAATCAACTCCAAATTTTGTTCTGAAATCAATGTCCTATTGCAAGGATTAAAAAAAAGCTCGAGTCACAAAATGCTCACCTGACGGAACGCGTCGACAGTTGCAATTATCCCTGGGGACAAGTTTACGACGAAAGAGCACACGGAAACCCTATCAATTTCACCTGCAGCAGCTGAACAAAGAAATAAAAGAAAAGTATCCAAGACAGGCTAATCTCCACGTCTCGAGGCCGCGAAACAATGTCGTTCTGGCGTGTAAACTCGTCACATATCCTACCTTGGGTTGAAGCGAAAGAAAGAAAGAAAAAAAAAAAAAAATAGTATTTTCCCTCCTCACTTTCCCCATAGCGAGACCCTGTCGAGCGCGTCCATTCGGTCCACGCGAAGTGTATACCCATGTGCCACGGTTTGCTAGCCCGCGTCCTTACCTGGAATACAGATAGCCTCGGCTCGCCGTCTCGTGTACGTACACCTTCATACAGTAACATACAGCAGTATAGAAGCGAAAGAGGTGCATTGGCAAAAAAATAAAAGAGAGGGAGGGTAGCTCTTGTTCGACGAGAGCTACGTGTGCGGAATGCAGCCTCTGCCTCTCTCTCTCTCGATACTGCGTCGTCGCGCGAGCTGCTATGCAGGCGCCTGCGGAGACCGAGAAAGACCTCTGCGGCTCCTCGCTTTTCCCGTGCCTTCGTACACGCGACACTCGCGATGTCATGTCGCAGGAGGATGGATGGCTTTGTTTTTTTATTTTTTTTATTTTTTACCAGAAAGTAACCTTGGAGGTACACACATCGACAAAGTTAAACGTTAAAGGGTAAAAAGAAACAGCCCACAAGGGTTGTGCGTTTAAAAAAGAGGGGGGGGGGAGAAAGCGAGCCCTTCCACGGATGGGTTGTCGCGCACGTACGACGTCTCTCGAGCCAAACGCGGGGAAACAATAGCGTGCCCGCGCTAAGGTAACGATAAACCATTATACTATCAGTCCCTCGTTCTGAGAGCTTTTGCAGCGCGTGGGGCCGGCCTTACCCAGTGCCCCGTCAACTGCACGCTCAGCGTAATCTTCAACCATATAATGGGACAGTGAGAGGGATTGGATAAAAGAAGGGAAAAAAAGCTGGTGAGCACGTCTACAGGATTATACGAGTTTTGAGCGAAAGAGAATGGGCTGACGAGTGTAAAGGGGTTGGTGCTATAGTTGTTTTAATACGTACCTACTCGTATTTTGGATATTGGTACCATGAAAATTTCAATGGGATGCAGAAATAAAAGTTTTATTTGGGTCAGAGGATGAAAAAAATTAGGTCGATTCGGCAAAATGACCCTTACCCGTCAACATTGGTTTGTCGTAAAAGAAGAACCACTACTATGGTGGACAAAAAATTTCGCATCACCTAGTTCTCACACGCCGGGTTTACCTTGGCATTCAACAGCTTGTACCTCCCACAACCAACAGATATCCAAATGCAGGTACATCGAGCGAACGATACACCAGTTGTTGTTTTGGTCAGGGAGTTTGTTCGCATCTGTACATGTACACACGTTGGCAAGCTTTTCTCCAGTATCGGAATATTTCCCCCAAACGCTGAATAGAGGGGCAAACACTGGGAATACCAAAAATTGAAAGAATCTCTCGTGTATTTCGAGAACAAAAAAAAAGCTCGTTTCATGTGATATCAAGTATGTTAGTTAAAAGAAAAGCTTTTTGACCAACTGCTCGTGAACGTTAGAACTTTGAGATTGGTAGAATACGTTTTCTTTGTTGAACAAACTGTGCGTACAATTAGCAGAAAATGGCACGAAATGCCACTCAATGGCCACTTGATTTATCGAAATCCTCTAGGCATTCTCAGGGACATTAAAAGGCTCCAAGTTACAGCAAATGCTTCAACCCTCAAAGGTACAGGGAAGATCTTAAAATGCACCTTACGCCCATCATCTGTAGAATAATGTCACATATTTTCTTTTCAGTCACCAAAAAGGCCACCTCATTCCCGTTATTCCTCAAAGCTTTCGCCCAACCCATATACTCTTTCTTCCGTGCTGGTATAGACGAAAAGCTCGACAGTACACAATACACCAACACACGTACACAAGTTGAAAAGGGTTAAGCACGCACGTCTGGGCGCAAAATGCGCGTCGCGTGATATACTTATTCCACCGGCAGCTTGGCTCCTTTTTCCCCCGAAACGAGCCCGAGGGGCTTTTTTTCACGTCAAACGGAGCCCCCACGTGTTATATTCATAAGCACCCAGGTGACTGACGCTGCCACCCCTGAAATCAATACTCACACCCTGCAGAGGTCGGGGGGAAGGTGAGACCATACACGTGAACGATTAATCTGCTGGATATTATTTTGCCGCGCGTGCGTGTACGTAGAAAATTCGCGCGTGTTACGGGGTAAGGAGAGGGAGAGAGAAAAAAGGGGGTTTGAGCGGAAGTCGCGCCTACTGGATGACGTGCGAGATTCTTATGGAAAAAAGCTCGAGGGGCCAAAGTTTCCCGGGTTTTTCCCCCCCGTTTACGTGTCTTGTCTTTTCTTTTTGGATTTTATTCTTGGAAAGCGTCGAATCATTTGACGGTGGGGCCCTTTTTATCCCTTGGATTTTCTTTATCTTTCATAAACTTGGGGGATGGAGGAGGTGTGACGAAAGAATAATTTATTATCTTGAACTACTCGATCGTTTTTGGTTAAAAATCAATGAGGCCTTGCACGCAAACCTTATCGCCAGTTACGTTACTGTACACACGTGTTTTTGTACGTGTCAAAATTTTGTTGTACATGACTTTGTAATTCTGATGCTATCTGGGATTTTAAAAATGGCTATTAGAAAAATAAATGGCTGCCCAGTGATTTTTTTCTTTACGAAGTATATATAAGTGTGCTGGGGTGTATTTGTAACTTTGGCCGACATTTTTATCGATATCCTCCTTGAATAGGAGGCACTCAGCTATACGTACTTCTGACTTTCTCATTGTAAGAGATACGTGAACAAAAAAAAAAAAAGTAAAGAACAATTCAACTGTGCCACAACAACCATCAAGGGTAAAACATTGATTTTTTTTTTCAATTTCTTTGTCTTTGACGAAAAAGTCTTTTTTGATCCCCCACTGAGACGCGATGAGAGCCCGAGGGATTGAAAAGGTACGAAAATAGTACTTTTCCCGAGAAAAAAAAAAAAAAAAAAAAAAAAGACACGAAGCATAAAGTACGTTTCTCTCTTTTCAGGTGATCAAGGGCAACGACAACACGTACCTCGAGTCCAAGCACATACTGGACCCGCCCATATGGGCGAGCAAAATCCGCTTCCTCCCCTACGACTCGCACATGCGTTATGTTTGCATGCGCGTGGAACTGTACGGATGCCTCTGGACTGGTAAGTGCCACCTGTAACGTCCATACACCTACGCTCTTGCATCCCCATCACGCGGAAACACGCAACTTTTTATTATTTTCCTTCGCCATAATTCGAACGCCAGAGGCGCGTTTTAATACGCGAAAAAGAAGAAACTTAGCATCACTCGAGTGAAACTATTTCACAAAAATGCACTGCAACGCATATAGCTAACCGTGCAACAATACCCGCCGTCCACGGCAGCTTCCTCTCCCGGAGAATGTCGAAAAACTTTCCTCCGCCATCCGTAAAATACATCCTTTCTCTTATTTTTTTTTTTCCTCGTCCGAAGAAAAGCAGCCCCCGCAGCCTGGACGCGGAAAAACTTTCTTTTCCCAGCGCGCAAAAAACAAAAAGAAAAAAAGTAGCAATTGTCAAGGCGGAAAATTCCCGTGTTCGCAGATGGCATAGTCTCATACTCGATGCCCCAGGGAAACAAGCGAAGCACCGACTGGGAGTTCTTCGACGCGATATACGACGGTCCCTGGGACGGGGAGCTGCGACGGGGTCTGGGTTTGCTGACGGACGGCAGGACCGGGCCCGACAACTTCAAGGTGGGCATACACGCCCACGACCGGGGCAAGGGCTGGGTCGGCTGGAGGAACGACACCCGGGCCGGCCAGCCCGTGGAGATCAAGTTCGAGTTTGACCGCGTCAGGGAGTTCTCGGCTGTGCACGTCGTTTGCAACAATCAGTTCAACAAGGACATCAAGGTGAGGGCTTTTCCTGTTTTCCATTTTTCTATCTTCTTTCCTAGCTTATAGTTGATGGCTTGCAGGTATGGGGAGCAAATTTAGCTAAGTACTTCGTTCGCTACAGGCGCTCATTTTTCAGCAGATGAACACTTTGTTGGGTGACTGTAACCAAACCACAAGCTTGTTTGACCCCATTTGACTTCGAAACTACTTGTAATCATACTCCTTTTTCATAAACAAGTTGCGAAATGAAAATACGAGAAATTTTCCACACCATTGTGTGCAAGTGTCCTTGTTACTCGTGAAATGGTCCAGATATACTTTTTCTTTATTACGCGTTACTTAGTCATTGTTTCCTTGAAGTCACGAATATTTTTAAACCCACGACTTTTTAAAATTTAAAATCCGAGGAAAATCACCGAATACGATATTCAAAGTATCGCGCATAGCTTTGATTATTTCACAAAAGTTAGCGTACACATAAACATTCGCGATTTACACCAACGTTGAACTTTTGCTCAATACAACCAAGTTTCTGGATTTAAATTACAAAGCAGTAGCAACGTTATCGATTCGCGTACGATTGCCCAATTTTCACTAACGCATGCATACAATATCACCTGCATAAAACCGTCAAAACGAGGCCATTCGAGAATAAAATAACGTTGTCAAAACTATGGGTTGCAGTGCCCACCAACGAACCACTTGTGCATACCTGCCACGCAGCTAGCGGCAATAATTACATGTAGGCACTTTGGATGCACGACGGGGTACAATAACAACACACGTGGATATGTATCCAAAATGCATCAGCATAATTCGGGCCATTCACGAGAGAGTATAACGTATAGGGTATAAACCCCCTGAGCACGGCTTTGCTTTCAAATTGAAATTACCGATAATCGTGGCGTAACCGTAACCATCGGCCGATTCGACCTATCCGTCGGGCTGCTATATATGTACGGGCCTGTAGTTTAGATAGCAAAATTTTCATATCGACTCGTCCCTACCCCCCCTTCTTTCCTCCCTCTCGTTTTCTGACTCATCTCCGCTAACTGATCGTTTGCAGCTTCATTTCGACCGCGCCAACACAACCAAGTCGTGTGGATCTCTTACGGAGAGGACGATCTTTGCGACACAACCGATCAAAGTTTCTTTCAAACATTTCTGCTACAAGACAATTCTTTCAATGTTTCTATCCTGTAATCGTGATAATTGTAGTTTAGCTGTAATTTATTAAAAGGGGCATATCCGCATCCTGATAACAAAGTAAGTAAGACGCAAACTTGAGAAAAACAAAAAAAAACAGACTCCAGTTAGGGGCGCACACCCCGGAGGGGGTTGGTGTCCCGTGATCGTTCAACTTTACAGAATTGCTCGTTCCAGTAGGTTTGGCATGATAATATAAGGCAAGAGCCGTCTGGTCCATGCTCGATTCGCGCTGAATACTCAAGTAGGCTCGCCCTCGCCACTATCGGGCTATCCACCCCCCCCCCTTTGCCCTAAACGTGTCTGCATGTATACATGTATAAGTAGATATATCGGCTTCGACGTCTGGAACAGCGAAAGATCAACAGGCTCTCGTTGCTCCTCTCTGACTTCTCGAGTTTGTCGCTCGGCCTTACGTAGGTACATATAAACCCTCGTTTGCACGTCCCGGGTAGCTTTGCTCCCCGCCGATGTGATCTTATCGACAGTCTCTTGGAAGGTGGTTGTTCCATCGTGGGGGTGACGGTGGGACGTTCTCATGCCTTTTTTTATTATCTTGCTTTGAAAAATTTTCGCGAAACCATAACCAGTTTTTTTTTTTTTTGTTGTTGTTGCTATTTTTAGTTTTTTTTGACACACATGAAGGCAAAATTTTCCTTGGTAGTTTTGTAGCGAAAGTATTGAAATTTTATATAATTCCAAGTTCAAGCTGAGCCTTACTACGTGTGAATTATTTGGTTCAGTTTTAAAACTTGATTACCATCACGTACGCCTATAGAGTTGATTACACCAGTGGTGTAAAATGCTTCGAGTATACCCTCGTACATAGAATTCAAAACTCATTTCTCACAAGAAATAAATAACTTGTTTTATTCATTGGGCCCAAACAAGTCATTCATTGGGGCAGTAACAATATTCTAGTTAAAAACGACAAACGAAATCCTAGTTAAACAACAAACGAATTAAAGTGACGACCTACTTTTCCTCTCCAGCATCGACACCCTCAATGATCCCCAAATAAAAAGCCAGACTAAAAGCTCGAGCGACGAAACGAGCTTTTAGTCAGCTCGAGCCACCGCTTTTCAGCAACAGTCCCACGCAAACATTGTACACGTCTCCGGTGACCTTTTAGGGCAAAAAGCCGCCTCGAGTGTTTATGCCCGTGTTACGTGAGGCACCAACAAGAGGTGGACCGAAACACATCAGTCCCCGATTTCTTGGTTGATTGGATATTCCACTCGGCTCTTTATCAAGGATATATACGATCGCCGAATCCACGGTGCTGGGTCGTGCGGTGAGCTTTATGGATTGCTGCCGTGGGGGAAAAAAAAAACTGGATACGGAGGGTGTGCTGGTTGGGTATGAGAAACGAGAGCGAGCGAGAGGTTGTAGAGTAGGTGTCGATGGAGATAAACTGGATTCTCTAGTGGCAAAACCTGGGATATTTGGCTGGCAAAGTGGTGACGAGCTAATTGGCCGATTCTATCGTGTACCTGCGATGAATGTCAAACGGCATATAACTCGTAAAAACATAGCTGATTCAAGGGTGAAAAAGTGTCCAAAAGTTCGACAAAAAAGAGCACATCTCGCAGCTGTCGAGCTTTTAGTCGTCGTTATTCCGTTCGGCAACCCCTTCGCGCGTCACATCGAGCGGCAACTTGCGAGAGCTCTCAAAAACGCCAGGGAGACGGAGCAAGGACTTCCGATTCGATCGGAGCTAAGTGGATGAATTTAATGCAAAACGTCTCCCCCACCTCCTACTGCGACTACTTCTGCGAACGACTCCCTCCACGGGAGAGGGATCTACGTGATTTTCATGCGGAAAGATATGCACGGAGCAAGTTACCCTTTGGCTCGAAGGAGCTGGAACTTTTATTCTCCATCGGCGCAGTTTCTCAACTTGAGTTAATGTGCCCCCTCTTTGTGACGCGATTGTTGATCGTTTATCACACCGATTTTCAGGCAAACGAAAAAATTTTGCTACACCCGCGCGTTTGTTTTTCGCTTGATTAATTTTTGGGAGGCAAAGTTCTCTTTCGAACGAAATACCCTGCAAATTCGGGACTCGACGAGCGAGTAGCATAGATTCCGCGACATTGAATGCGCAGCTTTTCCAAACAACCACGTCTGTTGAAAATTTTTCTGCCACCCCTCCTCTTGCGTAACCCGCGTCCTAACGTTGCACTCGAAACGAAATATCCCTGTATGTAAAAGCTCTCGACTCGCTTCGTTTAAAAAAAGTACGTACGAAAAGAGCTCGCTCCACGTGTTATTTTCCACCTGTAAAACCGTGAAAAAAGGAAAAAGACATCCTCGGCTCGTTCGTTATTTCAGATAAAAAAAAAAAAAAAGCCCCGGCGCAGTGGAGCCGAACAAGAACGGGCATCGAAAATTCGAGCTTTGGCCGGAGGGCAGGCGGTGGTATCTCTTTCCCGAAGCCCGCGTGCGTGTGCGAGCCAACAGAAGCACCGAGAGGGAAAAACTGCTGTTTTGGCTTATCAAAGACGCGCCTCCCGGGCACTGGAATGTCCGACGCAACGCGCATTGACGCATCGGCCGACTCTGTCTGTTTTTATTCGCTCCACCGATTGAATTTCGTTAAACGCACCCGCCGGGGGAGTCCGATCGTACTTCCATTGGGTTTTTGTGCTGTGTTGGGTCGTAGGAGTTTTAAAATTGAAATTAGTTGCGCGGCGCAGTTTCCGCGAGTGCGCAGAAACTGCTCCTCCATGGCCAGGCATGCGTGCGCGGGAAATGTATACCTCGTTGGAATTCATAAGGCTTTTATTTGTGGGGGAAGGGAAGTTTCGCTCGGGAATAATCAAAATCTCGGGTTTCGGAGTCTGAATTGGCTTGCACGCGTATTACAAAATACACGCTGTTGGTATGTATGCGTACCGACATAAAATTGGATTTTGGAAATGGGTGTGTACTCCGTGGAACGCAAAAAATGCCAGGCATCGTGGAATTTTACGTGGGGGCGGTACTACCTCGTTGTTTTGTGGAACAAGGCCCTCGAGCAGGTTTTCACGTGCGCGAAATTAATGCAATCTGCGTGGCCCCATCGCCCGATCGTTATTGGATGTTTTAATCATCGCTTTGCATCCAAATGGCCGAATGATAGCTTAGACTATAGGGATCCAAAGCAAGGTAAGCTCGCGTATGCATTCTTACGCAATATCTTGTCTGTTTTTGAACATTTTTCATCGAGCTCACTCTGCAGAAACTAAAAATAACGACCAGAGCACGATAACGATCCTTTGTTTACATTGTTTCTACTATGTTCTACTGTTGACTTTTATAAAATTTTCAAAGCATCTACTGGCATGGTACTTTTTTAGTTCTAGCATGCGATAACGCGTCGTTAAAATAACTTGTTCAATACATTTTTTATAAGCTTAAACCTAGCTGATTGAAGTTCAAGTTGAATTTTTTCTCCAGTATCTAGCTTAGTAGGGCTAAATTTTGGATCAGTTGAAGAAGGAAACAGAAAAATGATAAACGTCGAGGGTTAACCACAACTGAATTGGGATCATTACACCCTTTGCAAACAGGCATCCGTTAAATCTATTAGTTTTCTTTTCAGAAAAGAACGTGGACGAAATAAAAAAATTTTGTATTTATTTATTTATTGTTTTTTTTTTTTAACGATTAATGCGTTCAATAATTAATTAAACCACATACTGATCGACACAATTGTTATTTTATCAGTCAATTATTATTCATTTATATTATCTTCCGTGCGTTAGACATTTATCGAAGTGACTATTGGTCCATTAATTTATCTACTTAATACCTGATAAACTAATTAATTACTCGTTCATTAATTTCGTTATCCATTATTTATTATTTATGTATACCTAAATGTAAAAACAAAAAAAAAAAAACCCTCGGCTTTCGTCTCTCTCGCGCGTAGGAACGTCCTATACCACTGTGCGGAGGGAAAAAAAGTACACGGCAGCTTACATTTTTGCGGCCACGACGAGAATAGAGGGAAAGGAAGATAGGGTAAGCAGGGCCCAATTTGAAATTGAAAATACCAGTGTGTACAGCCCCTACCTCCCTTTGTTTTTCTTCGTACACATCTCTCCACCCATCCTCACGCTCCGGCTTTTCAGCGCTGATGCGCGTCCCTCCCCATTATTTTTTTGATTTTTTTCTTTTTCCATCCAGAGTTGGAAATTATTCGTATTGTTAGGGGAAAGAATTTCCACGCGCGAGGGCAGTTTAATTTTGTTGGCATGTCTCGCTCGAAGGGAGAATCGCTGAATGGAGGTAATTTTGTATGGTTACCTGATTGCTGCACCGATTCGTTTACGGTTTTTTGTTTTTTTTTTACATTGTGCCCTTGCGATTCTTTCAAACGACTCGAGCTTTGAAAAGTGATTCGTTGTTGTTTCCTGTATTTTCACTGTTTGTATGATGTTTTTTTTTTTTTTTTCCATGCTTTCGACAACAATGGCACGACGGGTAAATCCACATTCTAAATAGGGATTTTTGTTTGCGACGATTGTACGAGCATTGGATCGGATTTTACCGGCAACCTTTGTTCTCCCACTCGAGGGCACCAAATTTCGTCGATCCAAGATAAAAAACCACTATTACAATTCCAACAAAGTTGAACACAATCGAACCACAAAAGTCGCCAAAAATATCCATCATTCATCGTGGAAATAGTACCTTTCCAAAAAACCTCACGAGTTCACATAAGAAGCTATAAAAAAGAAACATGTGCGTGTCACTTTGCCCCTCCGCAAAAGTACTCCTAGAGGTGACTGAACGTTTTTAATAGCCGACATATATCACCTGGCTCGCGTCGCAATCGATCATAATTCTCCAATGAGGGTCGACGACAGTGGCGTGTCCGGGTCCAATCAAGAGTACGAAATCAGCTTCGATTTCTACACAGTTGCGTGTCATCCGGTGTATGTCTCTCCACCCAAATCCATTAGCCCACGGTGCCACGAGCGTTGTTTCAGTTGATTTTTTTGTCCAACCCTCTTTTGTACGGTTTTGAAAGCGCGCACTTGGAGTAATTACTTTTGTATTTTTTTTGAGTGACGAATGGAGATTGCCGAGTATTTCAATGCTACGTCTATTACGGTGTCTTCATTTTTTATGAAAACACTTGTATTATATAGTTACGACGTCATTGTTTAAAAAATACACGCTTGAATAAATAACCTCATGGAGCCTTTCAGCGCGAGTATAAGAGTCGAGTTGAATCAACAAAAGCTCTTCGACGCGAGGGAAAAGAGGGTGAAAGTCTGTCCCTTTTCTCGGTAGGTCTTAACGGACCCGCTCTTTCGCGAACAAAAACTCGATCGGTTCACCGTGAAATATCCGATTGATAATAGGATCACTTGGTTCATTGAACTTTCAAAAGCTCCTGGGCCCAAAGCTTGCGCGGGAGCGAAAAAATACAGAGCCACTAGCGCGCATAATTCCGCGTGGACCGAAAACTTCTTGTTTAAATAAGCTCTCGTGCTTTCGGTCCACCGCATCTCTTCTGCATCAACAGGGTTGGAGGGAAAGTGATACACGAGAGGCTACTTACCTACGACCGAGTCGTTCATTTTTCTCAATTTTACTCTGACGACCAGTTTCGGGTCAAAGAGAGACCTAAAACTAACAAGTGATTCTCGAAATGTTTCAGGTGTTCTCGCAGATGGAAGTGCTTTTCAGCATCGGCGGCAAGTTTTACTCGGGCGAGCCGATAACTTACAACTCCATGGAGGACAACGTGTTCGAGCACGCGCACAACGTCACGGTCAAGCTTCACAATCGCGTGGGGAAGTTTGTCAAGCTCAAGCTGCACTTTTCCGCCAAATGGATCATGATCAGCGAAGTCAGCTTTATTTCGGGTGAGTTGTTCTTTTGTCCCCTGTACGTGTTATATGGTTACGTTTTTGTTTTTACCAAGGCGTTGTCTGACCATACACGGGACTTTCTACTTTCAAACGATCAATCCACTCGTGATGCTTTCAATTGATGGCTTTTTTTTTAATCCTGCTCTGTAACCATTACTTAAAATAGAAAATACGTATGATGCAGCTGGATGCTAACTAAGATACTAAAATTATTTTTTCTTAAATTTGTTTGAACGAAAACAAAGGTGGAAAAACATAAAGCATAATATTTTGTGCTGCGTAGTACATAATTTTTTTTTTAATTGATTAAAATTTATCTTTTTTGTACATAGTGAAATTTCTATGCGTACTTACAATTTTTAAATATTTCCCATTGTTTGCAAGTCATTAATCAGTGAGTTTGATCCACTCGAGTCGTGTCTGAAAAAAAAAAAAAATAAATAAAATAAAAAAAAATCTATTTAGAAATAAATTTATCAAAGTTGTCGAGCTACACGAGTTTAAAGGAAAAATTCTCAGGAAATCAAGTCTCTGGAAATTTTCTTCCTTTGAAATTTCATCCTCTCTCTCTCTCTCTCTCTTGAATTCTTTAAAATCTTTGGAAATTTTTCAGGAGACTTTGAAACTTTGACATTCAAACTCTATCGCTAAAAAGGGAGGACTAGTTTTCCTCAAGTTTCATTTATTTGCCAAAAAAAGAAGCCGAAAACCCTTTTCGATCTCATTAAGCCCAGCTTTTTAGATGAACAAAGCTTATTTTACGAACTATTGGTAATTAAGAACATTCTTTAACTTTGCAGTTTCACTCCTAGCTTCGAATAACAGAACCAATGTCACGAGAAAAAAAAAAAAATTATTTTTCACGTCACTGTGATTTAAATTAAAATTTTTCCTCTCCCATCGACGTCCTCTTCTCGCACGGCTCCACTGTATGCTCAGTAATGCAAAATAAACATTCCTCTTTTGCTTTCGTGTAATTAATGTGTACCTTGTAAATTGCACCCCCCAAGATTGAAACTTTAATCAAAAAGTTGGTACTCGAGCTTTACGTGAATTTTATTTTAAATTTATTAGACCACTTTGAATTAACTTGCGAAGTAAAAAAAAAAAAAAAAAAAAAAAAAAAAAAAAGAAAAGAAAGGAAAAAAGCACTCGATATAAATCATCGGCGAAGAAAAAAAATCAAAAAGAAAGAAACGCAATTGATTGTGAAAAGCCCATCGCGGACAAGATCAACGGCGGAAAAAATCCCGGTCCAGCGATCAATTTGATCACGGCTCCTTTGATCAAGCGCTTTATTCATACCTCATCAGCTCGGCCAAAGCGCGGTCCGACCGCCCGGAAAGCTCATCTCGTCTCTTGGCCATGGAAAAAAAAGTCCTCAAAGGATTGGATGGACTTCTATAAACTTCCGTATTGACATCTCGCGCGAAAATAGAGAAGTTTGCGGTGCATTTCCATTAGCGATGAGGGCTGAATCAAAGACCACCGAAAATCGGCCCCTCGATGCATTAGTCGCGCCTTTGACGTCAACTGCAAACGCTGACGTGCAAATGACACGAGTAGCACACGGAACGTGTGTGTACGTGTACCCCAGTGGCATGGCTACCATGTTAATGAAGGTGCACGGGGAGGGTGGAGAGAAAATTGGAAGTCTTACAATAACCCAGTGTTTGGTAGACGCGATGGCGAGGCTGCAGTGTCTGACTCATGATGGGGGCACCTCTGGCTCCCTACATAATCATTCAAAAAATTTACAATATTAAACCATAGCTCTACTTACAAAAGATTCATCACTATCATTGCTATCGAATGCATTTATCTAAAGTCAAGTATACACAATTTCAACGATCAAGTGATCAACTAACAATAAGCTTTCAAAGCATCGCCCAGCTCGAAACAATTTATCAACTGTTTGTGTACACGCGTGCGTCATGCCTTACCAAAGGCCTATACCTGAAGGGCTGCACCAGATTTCGGATGACAACATTGAGCCAAAGTCCACGGATTTAAATTACTCAAAAACTGTGTCGTGAATTGCTCTAAAATTTCAACCACTTGGTTAATGAATTTTGATAGCCGTTGATTGTATTTCACGTAAACTCGCAGATTACGTGGACACACGAGTGAAATTGTTGAATATCGTACCATTTAATCAAAGACGAGCAAGAGTACATATCCAACAACTTAACCATCAAACCACGCGTATTTTTTTCCATTCGTACGATAAAAAAGTTGCAAGCAAGCTATCCGGAGGAGCCAAAAAAATCCTGCCAATGGCATGTGCGTCCAACAGAGAGGCTTGGATCGGAAATCCAATATCAAACACGCGACGGACGAGCGTGGCGCTGCTGCGTTGGCGCGACAGCTTTGTTTTTCCGCGTACACGTCTGGCGGCTAATCCCTGCATCTCCCACGCGGACCACCGGAGCTGCTGCGCTCGAGTCAGCTTAAGCCCAGCGCGGAAAAGCCGTATAAATGACGCGCTTATCCCGACACGTGTGTATATGTATACATATATATGTACTCGCGAGTGTTGGAGTTAAGATGTTTTCAGTCTCGAGAGATTCGGGAGAACACGTACCTACAGCGAGGAAAACCATATATAGTGTGTACGGAGCGTAAGGTGCCATTGAAAAATTAACCAATAGTGATGGACTGCGATCGGTAGCTTTTTTTTCTCCCATTCGGTTGGGAGAGCTTTGTCGAGGTGTTGCGAGGGTGGCGCTGAATTTTCAAAGATAAAATATAGCTTTTCCAATGATTCGATATCTTGTTGAGATTTGCGTGGTATTACAGAGGTTTAAGGATGCGAAGAGATTTGAAGAAAAAAAGTTTGAATACCGAATGAGCTTGCAAGCTCAATGTCAAAAATATTCCTTCAAAAACGACTGCGTGAATGCTTTTTCAGACTTTTCTTTTCTGAATGCCTTTCTTTCTTTTTAGTGTTACGTATGAAGCACATTTTTCTGGAAAAAAAATCTTGTCAAGCAATAAAAAACCTTCACAAATAATATAAAATATATAGTTGCATCGCAAAATATTTCGGAAATATATCTCTTCCCAAATTAAAAACTACGAAATAAAGTTAATACTGTACAGAGTCAAAAAGTGTAACCATCCCATGAATAAAATTATCATGTCTAAATTTTCAAACGAGCACCACTGCTGTACAGCTTTCTCGAGATAAATCCTAGCGGATGCACACACCCGCTAACATATTGTAAGTCATTTCTCTCGAGAACAGTGAGACGACCTTAAGTACCACACGTGACGCCTTGCGCTTTTTGTCCTCGCGCTCGTGTCCCGCGTGAAACCACAACACCGGGAGTATCTTCAGGCGGTGCAAAAAAAAAGTTTGGAATTTCACGTGCTCCCTTCGCTCTTACGAGCGCTTTTAATCTCGGCAATGAAGCTTTTTTTCCTACTCCGACTGAGGGTCACGCGTTGATGGATTGATATTGCAGTCGCTCCCCCGGCAGATGTTTTAAACGCCAGCCAAGGAAAAGAAAAAAACTAATCTAATCATTATCATTAGCTCAGTACTATCGAGCGTCGATGGAATTTCGCAAAATTAAATTTTAATCGAAAATACTTGCAAAAGGAAAGCTCGCGAACTCTGCTTTGACACCATTTTTGCTTGGATTAAATCGAAATTCCGCAACTTTGCACCGATACAAAGTCAAACCCTCAATTTTCAACTCTGCACCCTAAGTGTGAACATCATCTTTTATTACAACCTATACATCGCTCAGGATTTTCAAAACAACGTCCCCCGGTCAGACACTCGTGGCTCATTTTCTATTCGTGCGAGTATGACGTTGCCCCTCTAATTATACTAATCACAGCTAAATTCCACTCGGTAAACACTCGCCATCGAGTAAATAATCATCTCGACTCTGTTTGACGTGCAAGTTGATCCGATAAGCTCGTTACCAAATGAGCGTACACCGGAGTAGATGTGATTAGCAAAATGATTGATAAAAATGGTAAAACGACTAGTTAATCTGTAAGCATTTCTCTGGGCGTTCTGTTGCAGTGGTGGCCCACGGGAACTTCAGCGCCGAGGAGCTCGCGTCGACCGAGAGCCCAGCCCAGCGCGACGTCTTCGTGGAGAAGAAGGGCGGCGTCCCAGGCGAGCCCCCGGTGTCGCAAGCCAAGCACGACGACCCGACCTACATGGCAGTGGTCATAGGGATCCTCATGGCCGTGATACTGCTGCTCGCGGTGGCAATATTCCTGATCGTCAGCCGGCACAGGCAGCGCAAGTGCTTCGCCAGTCCGGTCAATGGGAAGGCCCCCTCCCACTTGGGCTCGTCTACCTGCGCCACAGTGGAGAAGGGCGCCGCTCTCATGGCTTACACGCTCGAGGACGACGAGAGGTATGAGCTTACGATTTTCGACGAGTGCACGAACCTTATCGCCGGACACTTGTAGACTCTCGCACCACACTACCGATGAAAATAATACAACAACAACAACAACAACAACAACAACAACAAGAGCACCATTACCGTTGCTTCATTCTTTTCTGTTTTGCATCGCACAATCATTATTTTTACCGTTATCATTATCATTATGATTATTTTTATCCCGTCACGGGAGTTTTAAGGTAGTCCTGATGATGGCTAGTCGCTTAGTGGTAGATTAAACTAGAGGAGATGAAATTTCGTTATTTACGACTCGATGTTGGCAATCTTTATGATTTGTCGTAGTATTATTATTATTATTATTATTATTATTATTATTATTATTATTATTATTATTATTATTATTATTATTATAATGAATTGATGCAAAAAAATGTATGATGTACGGGTCAAGTTGAAATTATAAATTTTCTTTGGGACTACCTTACGTAAAATCGATAAAACTGCACGTGAGATTAATTAATTTTGACACTTTTCGTGTGCTCATCACAGTAGCAATTTGTCACGAGTGTATGTGGGAACGCGTATTTCATGGAATTTTAATTGAAATTAATTCTTTGTTGGCAAATACGTGATCTAAAATTGGATCAAAGTTAATGAGCCGTTCGTAGCATTTTGCGCAATAAGCGTAAATTTACTGCGATTAAATTTCGGGAATGCCGAGGCATAACAACGAAACCGCTAACTTCAAAGGGCTCATTTTTAATTAACAAAATAACGAAAGTTCCAAAGCATTACGTCATTTCTCGATCATTTTTGTCTATTTTGTGTATTGTTTTAATTAAAAATTTCTCAAACTTAGTTTCACGGTTTCGATTTTAATAAATAATTAATAAATTAAAGTAAAATTTAATTTTAATATAATGATTTATATTCGTATTGTTATGAAAATTTGCAGTGTATGTGTATTTTGTATTGGTCTTGACATTTACTATACTGTGTACTAAATTAATGAACAGACTAATTGAGATAAACCATATGTCGCGAGCGTATGATGAAAATAGATGCCAAATTAATAGACTTTAATGAATAATCAATAACAGTCATTTGGTAATTTTAATTACTCAATGACGAATGAATGCCATAATATTGACAATAGAAACAGTAAACTATAAGCATAAGCTTAAGAAGTACTTCAAACCACGGAGATTCCATTAAATGTATTTTTCAAAATTTTTATATTTATATATACATATTTACGTATAAGCTTTTGTGGAAATGTAATCGATGACGAATCAATTTTTTCAAGTCGTACTTAATATCAGAATGTAAAAAATTTTATATTTATATACGTATAAAAACTAAATTCTTATTTTTAAGAACTTTTATATTTTTTTATCATCAAATCAAAGAAATGAACAATAAAATTTTATAAAAGAAAAAAACGTGTTTTGAAATACTACCCTCCTCTGCTTCCAAAAATTTGTATTACTTATAATAATTCAGATGTATGTGATGACTAAACATTTTTCAAAATATTAATTCAGTATTTAACAATTTTCAATCGAAAAACAAAAAAATTTTATTAGATTCATTTAACCTTAAATGTGCTCATGACAACAAACAATTTACTGCATGTATCATAGCCTTTTTTCAATTTAACAACAATAACTAATGACTTTATTAACATTTCAATAGCATTAAATGTATGCTTCAATTTTGCTTAAAAAAATTACCATGCATTCTTACACATCTCAATGTTTGAAACAAAATAAAAAAGCGAAAATAAGCTCGATCTCTCCCCTTCACATATATCTTTCCCCGTAATATTTCCAACATTCTTTTCTGTCTTTCTTTCAACATTTTTACCTATTTCACTCGCGAAATTCTCCATCAACATTCAATTCTTGTTAAGGGTCCTACTTTAATATCCGCTCCATGTGCATCAGCTTCTCTCATTTTTCTCACTTTCTGAATTACCACCTGTAATTTGACTTCCTGTCCACTTGACTTGTGATTCTCTTCATTTGTTCTTACCATTCACAGATTTTACCATTATGTAGGCCTTTTTAATTTATCCCTGCTATACTTGCTTTAACCTACTAGTATCCGTTCCTTCTTTGCGCAGTAGACAAATATGCATTTATTATTTATCTGTATTAATAAAACAAGGGATTGTAATGAACTTGAATCCGCCCGACATGTTTCCACCTCAAAAATTTCATCTCCTCGTAAAGTAAATTCTCTACCTCATTTTCCACCTCATTACCAAAAAGGTCAAATCTCCGCTCGCGCCAACACAAGCACCATACGTATACAGGGTACACAGTGTGCGACGACCAGCCTCTTATCTTGATGTTCTTTTTTTTTATTCTTTTTTTCCTTTTTTTTTTTTCTTTCGTATGGTCAAAAAAAAAAAAGGTACGCGGGTGGCTCGCTGCCAACACTGCCCCGGGACCTCGGCAACCGGCTCCTCGACATCGTCAAGCTCGACGACTACCAGGAGCCATATCAGGCGCTCAAGTACGCCCCCTACTACAGCTACAGTACCGTCGTCATGGAAATGAAGGACATGATGCTGAACAACAAACCAACGACGGTCAATCACAGTAACGGTGAGTGACTATTGCTTTGTTAGCCACGTTATTTTAAGGTACGCTCAAAGTGAATGATCGTTCGTTTCGTGAATCTATCGTTAATATGGCTCATTATTGACTCCGAAGTCAAAGCATTGAAAAATTAAAAATAGTGTAGGAAAATTACCTATACCCTTATCCCACTCGACCAGCTGGAAAGTCCAACAAACTTATTTGTCATTTCTTATAATACTGTTACCATACGTTACCATAACGATAGAATATATGAAAAACAAAAAAAAAAAGGTAACTTGATACATTCTTACCGATCCAAATTTCATCAGCACTCGTCAAACAATTTAAAAAATAAGCCACAATTTTCATTACATGTCTATTACGGTGCATCTCGATTGCAGTAGGGTAATCGTCAATCCACGATACTGGCTGTGACACACGGAAAATCGCGATCGATCCATCACTTTAAAAACGAACCAATGACGGAAGGGATGTATACTTGACAAAAGAATTATTTCATTTCTCCCTTCCTAAATTTTTCACACCCACAAAGTGGGTCATCGCCCGTTGAAATAAAGATTGGTCGTAAGAGCCCCGTGTGAAACGTAGGGTCACTCTGTATACGCAAACAATATTCAAACTTTGTTAACGATTAACGTGTATAGCTCCAACGGGGCGCGCGCAGGTGTCTGTACACGCGTAACGGCCAAAGTTTTAATAATCGCCAAAGTAGCCTCGTTCAAAGTTGAGGACTCCCGAGAAAATGCAACCCCTACCTCGTAAATACAACCCGTGTCGCGCCCTACAATAGCCTATTACACGCAGTGGGTTCAATTTAACGTGAATCATCGGCTCGTCAAGGAAACTTTCAACTCTCGACCCTTGATAAGTTACACATCGATGACATACCCCAAAGACGAATGAACACCACCAAACTCGGTCGAACCGTAAATTAGCCGTATACAAGAGAGTACGAGTCCGCTCCTCAAAACACCAAAGCATATACGACACGAGCTTGCGCAAGTTGGCTTATTCCAGGCCACGTACACACCTGTCCGAGGCCCGGATCGACAGACCGCAAGCTCGATCAATAATTCTCAAGACGCAGGTGTATATATGCACAGCCGCGTGTACACGTACACCCTCGGTTACCGCTTACCCTGAGCCGTACTGTACCCACTCCCCTTGAGCTCAAGTTCTCCTCCCTTTGCAGCGGTGTACGCGAACGGTGCAGTTGACACCTCGTACGACTACGCGGTGCCGGAGCTCGGGACTCAGCAGCCCCTGCTCAACGCCGTGGACGGCCGACACGGTTGCGGTGGCAGCGGGACCAGCGGAGGCCTTGCTATTAACGGGGGAGCGACCAGCAGCGCGGGCAGCGACCAAGACAGCGTTTTCTCCAAGGCGTCCTCGAGGAGCAGTCGGCCCGACGATAAGAAGGTCAGTGCTTTTTTACCCCCTTTGATCACACGAGGGTGGACAACCGCGATCGAGCTTTCTCGTCTTGGCGCGCGGTCCTTGGCTTTTCGCTTTGACTGTAATAATGAAACCGCAGCTGCGCGGTAATCCTGTATAGCTGCTCCTGATATCGATCGGGTTTTTCAAGCTTTTCCAGGCATTCGCCATCTAAAGGTGATTCTTGCAAAGATATATTATCATGGGTAAATGCGTGGTTGAACCTTTTTTTTTTTTTGGTTCCATAAAGACTCTTTGGATGAACACGCGTAAATCTAAATTGGAAATCCAAAGTCTCGGGTCGCAGGTGTTGCGTAGATCACAAAAAAATTACCTTTCGACTCCAAAAGTAGGTCATGGACATCCCCTGTAATTCAAGCGCGATCACACCGAATACTACGAATTTAATTTATGCAGCGAGTTTTAACGTTTTACAAAAATTAAAACTTTCCACTCGTAATCAACTTTTCTTTTTTTTTCTTTTCCCTCATACCAGACTCGCATTAAATCTCCGTTATTCCCTAAAAGCCACCTTCGACCTCTACCAACCAGCCAACCACGACCGCACGAGTCAGGGGGGAGCTTGCAATTAATAATTAAAATCAATATCGACCGGCTGCTGTGCTCCGGACCTCCCGGGAATCTCCTCAGTCGAGCAAACTGCTATGCTGCTGATAATACCTGCTCGCTCGACAATTTTCAAAGTACCCGAAACTCCAAAAATCAAATGGCTTTCCTACACGAGCACTTGTCTCCTTAGTGCTTTGATTCGTTCTGCAATGGCCTATTTATGGCAAATTGTTGAAACTCATTTTGTCTCATGTCCTTGCAATTAACTACTGTCGTGGAAAATTTTCATTTCCATGCTCACGCTTTTGTCTCCTTTGACACGTTTTCATCGTTATTCCATAACACATGCGCGTATAGTCTTACGTTCTGAAGTACATTGCTTATTCACGTAAAGTCCCCGGAGAAGGGAAGAAATTTTAAGTTTGCAAAAACATACTCGAGCCCGAATGAGCGTAACATATGGGAGATTAAAGTTCACCCGAGCCGTTACTACCAGCCAGAACTTTAATTGGTAGCGACCGAAAACGCTCATTCGATCGCGCACCATGACCGTAATTCCTTGTCCAAAATAGCCAAACTTCGAAATCACACCGATTCCTCGGAATCGCCTCAACAACTCTCTCGTCCATTATCTCGCCATCGAGGGGAAAAAAAAGAATAAAGATTCCCCGCTTTCGACCTCAACAAGCCGCACCCTTGCACTCTCATCCAAGAGAGAGATAGAGATACCACACGGGAACTTAATTTCCTTTCGCAAAATCGCTCAGTCAGCGGCGCCTCTCTTTCCCTCCTGGCGCGTGATTAATGCGCTCGAGCCATCTTACGTACTTTTCGAGAGCTCGGATGCACGCCTGATGCCATCAATCACATACATTACTCGTGTGCAGCGACAAAAAAAAAAGGAAATTAGCCCGCATGCAGCTCGAAATGGGCGAATTAGTGGATACGAAAAAGGTTTGCGTGATCTGCTCAACTTTTGCTTCGATTACGTATGCTTCTTTCTTTTTGTTGCATCTCATTAATTTTCATGTTTTACTGTGATCTGTAGTATAATTTTAACTCTGCATACCATCTCCACATGAGCCTCTGACGGTATTGGGTGCCTGAAAGGTATTCAAAGTTCGTCCGACGGCACTACTAACTACGTTTGGGAATTGGACAACTGCAAATCTTGCGATTCCCATTAAAATATTGAAAAAGTCTCTCACATCCTCGTAAAAAGCCAAGTTTCCCAGTCAAAGAACACGACATATCTCGTTATCCCGCGATTCTTCATCCACCAAAACGGCTAATAAACCTGTCATCCGTCCGAGTGACCACGCAAACATGGAAAATCCTCCTCCTCTTTGTCGCTTTGGTGGCCGATTAGTGCCTGGACGCGCGACTCCGCAAAGGACAGGTGAAATTGGAGAGAAAAAGCCTTTCCTACATGGACCCCTACCCCCAGCCTTTGGACCTCGTAATAATCCTTTCCGCAATTCCAAAGCAGAGATAGAGCAAAAGAGAAATCGCGGCATTGATTGGCGTGCGCGGCGAGGCCGTGTCAAGGCCAGGCGCGTGAATGCGATATGAGCGCTGTGTGCTGCGCTTACGAAACGGAGGGAGAGAGATAGGTTGAGCGCGTTTCGACTGTTTTGAGTGGCACTGTCGTACGTCAATCACCGACAGAGTCGTCGAGCCAGCGGCTCTGACGTCGACGAGTAATTTTAGATACGAGAGTTCACCAGACACGTTACGTATGGCCTTTATCTTTGGCTTTTATTTTTCTCTCTTTGAATATTTCTGCTTCGTTTTTCCATATCACCGGCTGCGCTAAACGCAGTGCTTTAATCGTACGTCCGGTGTAAATTGATCGCAGCTGAGAGGAGTTGGAAGATTGAGGACGAAACGATAGACCGGGACTTATGATGGGATGTGGACAGATTTGATATTGGACGGTTTGTGGGAGCACTATAGCGTAGTCGGATAGGATTACGAGTGGAGTGACAATAGAAGCGGAATTCGAGATTATCGTTTATTTCAACAAAACGCGAGTGTTTTACAAACTTTGTATTAAAAATAAGTTTTAAAAGCAATTTCATAGCCACATTACGTTGCAACGGTCAATCAAGAAGAATAACCCCAGTCTTCCTTTATCATATCCGACGCTTTTTCGGCAATGGCGACGGTTGGAATATTTATGTGTCCAGATATTATGTTTGGCATGATGGACGCATCTGCCACTCTTAATCGCTTCACGCCGATGACCTTTAATAAAATACAATCAAAATTAGCTACCTATGGGCTCCATTAAAAACTATAAATATATACTTATTACCTGTAATTTTGAGTTCACGACGGAGGTACTGTCATCTTCTAGGCCCATTTTACACGTACCCGATTGATGGTACACTGTGCAAGCAAACAACCGCAATGCACACTCCCAGTAATCATCGGAATCATAATCGTAATCCTTACAAGGTAGAGGGATTCTATAGAGCTCAGAATTATACTTTTCAAACGCTTTAGTTTGTGCTAATTCTATTGCATTTCTTATTCCCTGGATCATGACGCGAACGTCATCTGGATGATCAAAGTAATTTGGGTATATCTTTGGCTTAGTTTTAGGATCTGCGTTCTGCAACAAAATTTTTCCACGACTTTTTGGTCGAGTTAACATGGGCCAAATGGTCCATGTACTATGATCGACGTTGCTCTCAACAAAGTCATTCTGATAGTTTTCAGATATTCCAAGCAGATTCGCCAAGACGGGGTCTTTAATTCCTAGAGACGAGGTAAAAATTAGTTCTATGTTTGGGGTACCTGAGAAAATAAAAGGATTATCCACGTTCAAAAAGGCCAAAGCTTGGAAACCAACTGCCAGGGTTAGCTTTCCATTTCTATTTGTTACATACTCTTTTATCGACGGATTATTGGGATCAAACGTATTCGCTTCAACTGGAGTCTGTGAGATGTTTGTTTTGAAAACTAAACCACCATACATTATGTGGTCCATTAGATTTTCTCCGACTGGAGAATCCACGACTACGTTAATATCCAAATCTTGTAAATGTTCCGCTGGTCCTATTCCAGAAAGCATCAAAATTTGTGGAGAATTTATCGTTCCGGCACACAAAATTACCTCTTTCTTGGCCCTTACAATAATAGTTTTATCAAATTTCGTGAATTCCACGCCATAAGCTGTTTTTGTTTCTTCATCAATTAGTATTTTATTTACGTGGCTGTCCCTCGTTAAAAACAAATTTTGCCTTTTTTCTTTAAAGTGGAGATATGCCCTATTAGTGCTACAACGTTCACTGTGGATCATAGTGTTTTGCAACAAAGAAAATCCAATTTGTTCAATCCCATTATAATCAACTTCCTCGTAACCAAGTTCGTTTCCAGCTTCTAAAAATGCCTCGACAAGCTTTGACTCGTAAGGAGATCTTGAGATATCCAACGGGCCATCTTTACTATGCAATTCTTTATAATAACCTTCACCATCAATGTGAAAATTCTCCATTTTTATAAAGTACTTCAACATTTCTACGTACGACCAGGATTTGTCACCACTCATCGAGGCCCATTCGTCGTAATTTTCTCTATGGCCCCTCGTGGCAACCAAAAAGTTCAAAACACTGCTACCTCCCATTACTTTTCCCCTCGGCCACGAACATTTGGATTCCTTGAGTCCTCGGCAAAACTTATCCGAACTCTCCGTTTTATAACCCCAATTCACCTTATCGCTCAGCTGCAGGAATCCAGCCATCATGGGAATATCCATTATTGGGTATTCCTTGGAACCAGCTTCAATGAGCAAAACAGTCGCATCTTTTATTTCACTCAGTCGCGATGCAACAGTGGCCCCCGCAGTTCCCGCCCCGATAACGATGAAATCGTACTCGCCATTATCATCGGGAGTCGTATCATTGAGCTCACGATCATAAAACGGTATGCTATCGTCCGAAAATATTAATTCATTTTTACTCAATTTTATTATGTTTTGTCGAAGAGAATCCTCACTTCCGAAATCAGCATAGTCATCGCACGTGTTTACAATGCTAAAGCTTAAGTACCCACAGATTAAAAACAACAGTGACCAATACATCGTACTTGATTGCGGTGATTAAATATATTTTGTTCACATTCACGTGGATGAATATTTTAAGTTATAATGATTATAAAACTATGAAACTATAATAACAACAACCAGCACATGCACTATTGAGTGAAGAACGCGTTAGAGCACGACACTCGAATCGAAAGATTACTGGAGAATAAAAACTTTTCAAGTGTTAGGCCAGAGAGTGTCCACCTTGATGTTACGTCGTATCAGCAGTGTTCATTGGTATCTAATCATTTAATGACAGATAATTTTTGTACTATCACTGTAATAACAAATTGCACAGGCATGAAAATTTGCTGACTAACGCAATTGACAACTCATTTCTACTGCATCGGGCAATCGGTCGATTAAGACTGTTTCTTATAGTGTGGCTGGAATAATTTTTTTAATTACCTTACATTAACGTTCTTATAAATATGTATAAAGATACTATACAGATATGTATTATATAAGCGCTCACTATTGTACTATAAACCTATTCTTTTTAATTAATAAGGCTCTATCAGTTGACGGACTTGAATAATTATGCAAGCCTCTGTAATACCAATGTGACTGCTGACATTAGGATTTTTTTTCAGAGGGAGGTGTTAAATAGCCCCAATCTTCTTTTACCATATCCGACAATTTTTCAGCAATGGCGATGGTTGGGATATTCGTGTGACCAGACACAATGTTCGGCATGATGGACGCATCCGCAACTCTTAATCCTTCAACTCCTATGACCTGAAACGAGGATGATAAATATCGTTACCTCGTACATTTAATCAAAATCAGTTTAAAAGTTTACCTTTAACCTAGAATTCACAACAGCCGTATCGTCGCCACCGTCTCCCATTTTACACGTGCCTGATTGGTGATGGCATGTTGCACTGAATATTCTTAACGCACATTCCCAGTAGTCATCAGAGTCGTAAGTTTTATCTTTGCAGATAGGCATATGGTACATTTGAGAGTCATATTTCTCAAATTCTTTAGTTTTCGACAACTTGATTGCCTCCTTTATGCCTTTTATCATCACTCTTACGTCTTCAGGGTCGTCAAAGTAATTTGGATACACTTTTGGTTTATCTCTCGGATTTTTACTTTTCAACAACAATTTTCCACGACTCTTTGGCTGAAGTAATGAAAGAATCACGTTCCAATGAGCGTGGCTTGTGTTGTTTAGGCTTATTTGATCGATGTAAAACTCAGACAGACCTAAATCGTATCCAAATGATGGATCTTTCAAACCAGTATTGGGACCAAACAAGAATTCCACATTTGGATTCTCGTGTAAAGAATTTGGTCTGTCAACGTTCAAAAAGGCCAATGCCTCAAAACCCATTCCTACTGCTAACGAACCATTTCTCTTGGTTATATAATCATTTATCGCAGAATTTTTCCGGCTCAGAACGTCAGACTCCATCGAATCAAACGAAATATTTGTTTTAAATACCAAACCCCCGTAAATAACGTGATCCATCAGATTACTTCCAACTGGCGAATTTTTCAATACCTTAATACCCAAGCTTTGCAAATGTTTTTTAGGCCCGATTCCAGAAAGCATTAAAATCTGCGGAGAGTTTATTGCCCCTGCCGACAAAATGATCTCCTTTCTGGCTTTAACTAAAATCCTACGTCCCTTTTTCGAAAAACTCACGCCAGTAGCTTTTTTTGATTTTCCATCTATGATTACCTTACTCACAAAACTATCCCTCGTTAAAAACAAATTCGTTCGGTTCTTCGCTGGATGAAGGTATGCTCTATTGGAACTCCATCGCTCACCATTAACTACCGTGTTTTGAAAGTACGAATAACCTATTTGTGAATCACCATTGTAATCTACTTCCGAGTAACCAGATTCCTCACCAGCCTTGACGAAAGTATCTGCTAATAGTGTCGTGTATGGCGCACTTGTTATATGAACTGGGCCACCTTTGTTGTGTACCTTACGATCGAAATCTACTCCTCTAACTTGATAGTCTTCCAGCTTTTTAAAATACTTCAGCATATTCTCGTACGACCAGGACTCATCCCCGCTTGATGCGGCCCATTCGTCGTAATTGTTCTTGTTACCCCTCGTGGCAACCATAAAGTTTAAAATACTACTGCCTCCCATAACCCTTCCACGAGGAAAGTAACATTTCGAATCGGTACTTCCTTTGCAATACTTGTCAGAACTTTCGCTCTCGTACCTCCAGTTAATTTGGTCACTCCTTTGCAACAGCCTTGCCAGCGCGGGGATATCCATCAATGGGTATTCTTTAGTTCCAGCCTCGATCAGCAGTACAGTGATGTTTTTAACTTCACTGAGTCTAGATGCGACGACGGCACCAGCACTCCCCGCACCAACAACAATAAAATCGTATTCACTGTTATTTTCCGGTGTAGTATCCTCCAACTCATTTTCATACGGTGGTAAATTTGCATCGGAAAACTCCAATTGTCCTCGAGACAAGTCTATTATATTGTTTCGCAACGAATCCTCCGTTCCTACGTAAGTGTAATTGCACGTAGCGTAAGAGCTCACGGCTAAAAAAACAAAAAGGCACGCTGCCCAACGCGCCATGTTTGAACAACTAAGTAAACTTGTGACACATACGGATTCACCAGTTACGGCACCGAAGCTCGATTGCTTGCATCTGAAAACAAGTGGATTGCATTTATTCGCTTATCATTTGACAAAGATAGTAAATTAATCGCGTGATTTGATAAATTCTTCAAAAAATCATCGTATCTCGGAGTTGTTATTTAATTCCCCGGTGGTAGGTAAGTAGTGTTGGTAGAAGTAAAAAAAAAAAAGCTCAAAGCCGTTTAATCCGACCTATCCAGCTTTAAAGAGGCGCAAGCGATAATCGATTGTTCTCCCGACTCTGGGGCGTCGTTGTCTATACACCGAGCGCGGCTGGCGCGCCTTCGCTAATTGTCAAGGCGTTGCCGAAGAGCCAAGGCTGCTCCCTTTTACCGCCACCGCCGTACGGCTCAATCCCGAGTTCTCGGTATCCAAGGGTGCAATTTGTAAACCGGGCTATGCTTTGACTTTCGACTCCGTACACCTGAGTCGATCGAGCTTTTGGAATTGCGTTTTATTCCCACACTTCCATGCAAGCTTTCACAAGGAGAAATTTTTTTTCCTCGTTTCTTCCAAATATAAGGTGCTTCAAAGCTCTTTGACCACCCATGTCCCGGTCTATTACCCCAACCATCCTTTCATCATCCGATTCTCGTTATCGGCAACACATTGCATCCCGATCGCGTGACTCCTTTGGCGCGATGTAGACGTACACGAAAGGCAAAGAAGAACAAATTTACGTATACATGTACACATATCATGTGTATATAATGCACGTGTGTTTGCTCGCGTGTTTCAGTCGCCAACGCAACAGGAGGTGCTGTCCGCGCTGAAGAAGCGACTGGAGCAGACCAATGTGCCCCTCTTCCCGAGGCATCGGCTACGCATGCTCTCGAAACTGGCCGAGGGCGCCTTCGGCTCGGTAAGTCCGTGTACACACCTGTGGGGCTTTTTTTGATTTATCGTCCCTGAGCACGAATACATTAGCATACACGTTGAACTGCACGAAAGTCACTTGGCTGATTCATAAAAGTACATTGATATTGTTTCCATACGCTGTCTTTCCTCCTCGTGTTATCTCAAGATACGAGGAGGTACATTGTTTTTCCTTCGTCACACTCGCAAGATTTGTAAAATATTGTACAGCCTCGTTACTTGTGATAAAACAAAACAGCTCATAAAAATCCTTCCTTTTAATCACTTGCTCTTGAAAAACCATTGAAAGATAATTTGAATGAAAATCTATTTGAACGCAGGTGTACATAGCGGAGGCCGAGGGCATCCCGGAGTACGGAACGACGACGAGTCTCGGAAAGAGGCTCGTGGCAGTCAAGTTTTTACTGCCGGAAGCAAACGAAAAGGAAAAGTAAGTACAAGCACGCTGCACACCCCGGATTCGACCACCTCCTTTTTTTTACCACATCAATTGAGCTTCGCAATTCAGATGTAAGCACTTTCTCTCCAACCTCGTTCTGCCGATCGTTTTGCGCCTTTCATTTTCGCGGGGACCGTGGCGTATATATACCTTTACCGATAGCGATGAAAATGATTGAGATAAAAGGCTCTGGCCTAGATCTGTCATCCTTTATTTGCGCTTCATTCGTTCCCGGGCTTTTCCTCTCATTTTTTTCTCCCTCCTTCTCTCGTGGGCGCCAAGATAAGAGTCTCGTTCTTGAAAGAGCTTTCGGTTTAAATAATACGGTTCACCCGATTTTTTTTTTCCTCCCCTCCGAGCGATCTTCCTTCCCGGCTTTTTTCTATCGCGAATAATTCACGCGAAAATCGTTGCGAGCCACGGAGCACTTGTTACCAATGAAATGCTGTACTGCACGGAATAAAAGTCAATACGAAAGCTTAACGCAAATAATTCGCATTGCCTTCGTTTTCAATATTAGCAAACACCCGGTCCAATCGTCTGTGTTATTCCGTAAACATAATCACACAGCGTTGCCATTAATCTCACCTCCATAGTAAACAGCCAACCAATCACTCCGTTAATTAAATGTGTTATTCGATCGATTTATGCATTTACCAGTCCTAAACAACTTTTTCGTTATTTAGTATCGAACCAAACCCCAACGTCACTGGTAACCAGCTGCATACGCATATTGTTGATGTAGTCGAAAACATCAACTACACGGCGCCTCTATTATATTTTTTTGAAGTCACCTCCTTACAAAATGTATAATAGAGCTATAAGGAAAAGAAGTGCCTCCGTGGGTACGTATAGTCTCTCGGGCATTTTCTGCACGAACCAGGTATTCAAAAGAAAACTGGGATGCACCCCTCCTTCCCTCTTATTATTCAATAGTAGCGCGCAGCGAGCCTTTGCAATTGCCTTACCTTAAGTGTACCACTTACAACTCATTTTTCCACGGGGAACAAATATCGCGACTCCCTTTTGTCCTCCCACTCCCATACCGAGGTGGCTTTTTTATTTTTTAAACGGCGCTCGGTATAGCGAAAGCTGTTTTCATTGTCCTCCCAGTATCTCCGAGCCATCTCCGGGCTATTTCGACGACTCTCTGCTCTCCCTTTTATAAAAAAAAAATTTTTTTTACGTCCCTCCTCCCCAGCGTCCTTCCCCTCGTTTACTCCATTTCCTACGCCGACCTCTTGCTCCCCATTGTCTCTCTCGCCTACGTCTATCCCATTTCTATCAGAGCGGTCCCCTCGGACGGTCCTCGGAAGGCACGGAGACGCTATCGCGTGCCTCTCCGCCGACTTCCTCGAACCGCGCGCCGAATTTGCATACAATGCGCGGGGATACGTATCTGGGATTTTAAGTGCCTGTGCATCGATTTTGGCCCGCCGATCCGTTATGGGCCGCGCTCACGCCGAAAATTCGCACAGATCCGGGGGGCAGATTGATTTTGTTTCGCTAGCGACGCGTTGCCTCGTTTCTCTCTCTCTCTCTTTTTTCTTTTTTTCGACAGTCTTAGGTTTTGCATCCAGAGGCTTGGCTTGCAAACAGATCGATACGCTCGTAACAATGGACCGTGAGATGTCCAATGGCATTTCTAAATGTGAAATATAGGCAAACTTCAGTTATTTGTGCAACAAGTGGGTCTTAAACGTAAAGAAAATAAGCAACGCTGTGGCTACGCGTTTAAGCAACTAAACTGTGATTCTTTGCTGTGGTTATTTTAGTTATAATCGGGTACAAGGTATGGATTGACTTTAAAATGTCACGTTAACGGAGCTGAAATCAGAACCTTTAGGTGTCCGGTTGAATAAAATAATAACTTGATTTTCCTTCCTTTGACAATTAATAATTTAAAGTATACTATAAAAAATTGATCTTGAGTATATTAATTACACATTATTGCTTAGAAAATTCAGCGGAATGTACAAAAGTTTGCGTTCGAGTATTAATTTTGTTTGGTTTTTCCTTATTTACCTTACATACCTTGTAATTTAGTGCTGCGAGAAATTTCCTTTCGTGCAAGACTCATGTGTCTTCCAACTATTTTGATTAACGTTCAAGTATTTAGTCCATAATTAGAGTTTGTAAGAGATAAAGCAAAGAGTAAGTACAGGAAAAAAAACTGTTGCTCATTTTACTTTCACGTTTTTCTTTGTTTTTTTTTTTTTTTTCTTTATTTTTTTAAAGGCTCCACTAAAGCAAAAAGTTTTAGTAGCAGACGTATATGTAACCTATTCTATTTTTATTGACTGATGTATGCTAGCTGACGTAGTTGTGTGATAAAAGAATGATAAATAATTATAAAGGGAGAAGTCGTTCATTAATCATTCAATTGACATTAACGCAACGAATTGAGTTACCTGAACTAAAAGAATGCACTTTCAACCCCTTCGCATGTGCGAATGGTATTTCAATCATTCACTGCAGTGCTTTATTAGAGGAGCCATTCAAGAAGGGGAGGAAATTATTATGTTTGATTTAATTTGCGATTTCACCGCATGAGCTTGCCCTGGTGTTGGCCCCCCTGATCGGAAAATACCGGCGGCGGCCGATACCTTCCCGAGAGGGATTGCCCACCGGGTCGAGACATCATCGGGTGAGATCAGGACCAACTATGGCCCTATTGCAAATATTTTCAGACAGCCGAGTTTTCACATCAGGCCGGAGGCGAACCTCTAAGAAATATTTGCCCACAATTTTTTAAGCCTCGGGACACTAACTTATAAACCAAACTTGATTTTTTCACTAGTGAGATTTCAGTATGATTTGGTCTGCCACCTAGCGGTTGAAAATGACACTAGCCAGCGTTGAATACCCAGCACTTGTATACGATGTCAGGGGTACGTAGATTTGAATGAAAGAAACGATGATAACAATTTAAAAATTAATAATAAATTATTATCCAATCCTTTTAAATAGTTCATACATTTGTTGGATTATTTTAAAAAGTGGCGTAACTACTGAGTCTTTTCGATGAAAAATGCCGCGTAAAGTCAAAATGGTCCGTCGTTTCAGTGAGACTAATCTTGTAATACGACACTCAACAAAAACTTTATACTAGCTAAAATACACGCTTTGTACCACATTTATGCCAACATACCTACAGAGAGAGAGAGAGAGAGACAGAGAGCCGGTGAATATGCCAAACGCCATAAATAAGCCCCCGCGATCGGCACACGTTTTTTTTCCTCTTACTCGATATACAGATAGGGGCCCACCCCCTTGCCCCAACCGCACATACGTGTACGAAAACACCGCGTAGTTTGGTACAACCACTACTGGCGTGGAAGCGAATTCATGCGCCGATCCTTATTTTAGATCTGCTCGTTTTCTTTATTGAATTTGGCTCTTCTGCCGTTCGCGATAAAGACGATGCTTTTCGGAAGCATAGAGAGATCCACTTTGTGCTCACGGACACCGCTTCTCCTTAAATGCAGTCCAACATTGGACACGTTTCTGTTTTACTTACCAATATCATAACGAAAATTGGCTTTATAACTGATGACCCAAAGACCGGCTCTCAAATGTCTCGGCACCGAGTCTGCAAAAACACCTAAAAAAATCGGGGCAAAGAGACCGACTCCTCCATACCCCTATGTACACCCCCACTTTGGTTTCTAAAACGAAGATGCTCAAGTTTCACGGGCTTCCGTAGGCTGGACTTCCAGAGGGACGTGAGGATCCTCGCCGCCCTCGAGGACCGAAACATAGCCCGAGTGTTGGGCGCCTGTTGTCGCGAGGAGCCCTACTGCGTCGTCATGGAGTACCTCGAGCACGGCGATCTCTGCCAGTTCCTCAAGTCCCACGTGACCGCCGAGGACGCCCACTCCATGCCCATCGGGGTGAAAACGCTGAGGTACGTGTATCCATTTGTCGATACATTTTCCACTCAAACGTATACGTAGGGTTTATATTTAAAATTCATCCCCTATCATCCGAGCTGCAAATTATTGATGGTATAGCAGAGAGAAAACAATATGTGCGAACAGTGCTTTTGTTTAAAATTGATAAGCTCCCGTTTTCATCGCGTACCGGGATGAACGTATAGTATTATGCGGGAGGCAAAAAACCCGCACTGGAACGTACACGTCGCGTGTAATGTGTATGTATACATATACATGAGCTCATTTTCAGCTTCAACTGCCTCATCTACATGGCCGCGCAAATTGCGTCGGGGATGCGGTACTTGGAGAACCTCAACTTCGTGCATCGGGATCTGGCCACGAGGTGAGTGCTATACTTATATAAAGTACCTATGGTGTGTGGTTGCACGGGAGAGCGAGAAAAAAGCCGGTATAGTCTCGAAAGTTCCGCGGAATCCGAGTGTGAGGGGGATATAACACACTTTTGACCTGATTTTCGGTTGTACGGACCGGCCGCGGAAGGGTGGAACTTTTGCTCTTCTTTTCTCTCTCTCTTCCTCGCGGGAGAAGTTTTCCTCGTCCCTTATCTCCCCAACGCCGGGGAAAATTATTGCTCGAGCCGATAGCTTAATTCGTTTATAAGTTGTTCCAGGGACTGGCCAGCTTACTTCTCTAGGAAGAATCGCGGGGCTTTTAAACTGTTTTCGGCCAACGGAAGATTTGGTGTTTAGGAGATTTTTCAAGTCGGATGCTTTGTGTTTTCGAGAAGTAAACGATGCGATTCATCGGAAGCGCTCGTTGACAAAGTCGCGTGTTAATCTGTCGAGTGAAAGGCTCTCATGGGAATAATGCGCGTCCACCTCTCATTTTGCGCGAACGCGTTGAAAGTCGTCTTGACGTAAGATCAGTTGCAGCTTTTGCCGGTTTGCAAGAGGATCGAAAGGATTATCGTTGCGAAATTCAATAGCGCAATCGCGTGCGGTGTTTAGCATTTTTATCTGTACGACAAGTGTTTCTTGCTTTTCATATGTTTTTATCTCATTTGCTCTCTTTGAAAGGAAATATTTTCCTGAATAATATGCATTCTTTCCGTTGGGAGATTTTTTTCTTCATCACCATTCACAATGTAGTATGAAAAAAAAAAAAATTTTTTTTCAGCAGTTCAATGCAAAAACATATTTTATACATTAAAGTTTATTGTCAAATATTACTTAGTATTCACATACTAAGACTTCGGGGTTTTGTCATTTTAATTTCATGTTGATTATTTTTTCTTTCGAATTGTCATTTAGTTTATTTATTTATTTTTTTTTTCTAAGTACCATTTTGAGCATATACTTCTCAAGTACAAAGAAAAAGGACGTACTCTGATCTTTAAAAATCTCGGTAGTTCACCTACGGTCAAAAAAGGCCACTAAAATTCTTCTAAATAATTAACAACACGATACGACAATAACATAAATTGTCCTCATTATTGCACCGCTGGAAGAATCTCCCAGATAAATTACAAAAATCCCAGGTCAATGTACCCAGTGAAAGATAAATTTACCAAGTACGCAAGTACGTAATAGGTGTCAATAAATTTTCCACCCCTTTCGTGGAATCGCCGCCGAAATTATTCCCCAGCAGTACATATACACCCGCTTGGTAGTTTAGTGGGTTAAGTGCGCAACGACGACTATACGGCCATGACCGTATAAAATAATGTAACACTGTAAATCGTGAAATTCCCCGAGAGTTTACGTCCGCGTGGCAATAGCGCGTAACCGCAAGCTTAGATGGTGCAAGAGAAGAAAAAAAAAAAGTGTCGAAAATGAGGCAAGTTCCGATTACACTTTTATTATGCCATTACACTGTGTTTTTTTTTTCCTCCTCCACTTTCGAACTTTTAATGACGCGCGGAGGCTCTCAGTTTGCCGAGTTAGTTTTCGAGGATAAACCAAACGAAGCAGGAAAGGGCCGTGGTAAAAATTTCCCCTAAAAGTTGGATCAACATAATTAATAACTTTCAAGCGTATAAAGTATTTTTTCTTCATCACGTAGTAAACGATCCACAATCACGACTGCCACTTTTCACTTGTTCTCCTCAAATGTGTACCTACATTCCACGGATACGTGATAATTCTTATACCAATCAGCACAACGATCCTGAATACCCCGAATCATTATTTTTTTTTTAAATATCTCAGTACACCATAATGTACAGAGTACGGATCGAAAGTTATAAATACGCGATGAAGGGATACACGGGGGCGCGTCCATAAAAGCGTCGCGATAAAAAATGTATTTCGAATTTTGATATACTGGGGCCACTCGAGCGTAAAACACGGGCGCTCGGTTTTTTCATCAAACGCCGATGTGCGAGTAATATTCATCCCGCAATTTTTCCACCCTCGGCACCTGTATAAAGTCGTAAAACTCCATCAAAGAGACTTGATTTTTACAAACGATCGCAACATCCACCTCCATTGTCGCGCCACCTGTGCAGAATAATGACGAAACGAATACAAATCCCTGCAAGACTTTTATCCCCGAGTCAAGTAATAATCGCGTCGATGTCTCTTTGAAAAAGGAGAGGGGCAGTAAAAAACACACATCGGCCCAACCAAGCGAGTTGACATTCATTGTCCGCGAGGTTGTTTACACCCGTGTACAAAAGCCGCAGCGATGATCCTCTTCCATTGAGACACCCCGGACCGTGCAGACACGTGGATCTACTCCCGATCGAGCGCCAATTATTCACGAGGGCCGCCCTTTCTCTCTTCGCGCTCGGAATGACGTACGATCCCTTTCTCTCGTGTGCACACGTGTATAAATCGAAGAGCGGCGCTTGCATTGCTTTTTTTTCCCTATGCGCAACGCGAAAATGGGCCAAGTTGCCGTTGACCCCTGTGGCAGTTATTTTTATGTTCGATCTCGTTGGAGCTGGTTTTTTTTTTTTTTCGCGTCCAGCTCGAGAGTAAGGGGTACACTGAGGCAAGTATACACATATAGATTCTGTGGAATTCTGCGAGTCTTTGGGTTCTATGCTCATGTGGGCACTGTAGAGGGATGATCGATGTGCCCCAGTCGAGATTCAAAGGCCGGCTTCTTGCGACTTTCACGTGAATAACGCGAGGTACTTTCAAAGGGCATGTGTTCGATAATCTCGAGGTTTCGTTTTTCTATGTGTGTTCACGAGGGACAGTATTGGCAATTCAATTTAAAACTCGTCATCGCCCGTCATACACTGCTGGATTCAATTTATTTATCTGCTTATTAATTTCTCTACATCGCATTGCTGATTAAAAATGGGATTAAACGAGCTCAAATTGTTTTGCACAGGATCTCATTAACAGAAAACTCAATTGAAATGAAATTGTAAGTTTTACTTCTCTCAAAAATGTCCCCTCACAATAAGCCACTGCTTATCCCAAGTACTGCAACCATTTGGTTCGTCACTTACAAACACAGCCTCGGCACACATGACTATCAAAGTCAAATATACCAAAGTACAAAGAAATTTCAAAAACGCATGGTATAAATATGGTCCTAATTTTCAGCTGACACTCGTATTCCTTTGCCATGAAATCGGCGACCCACCACCCCCCGCGAATTATTAATCTAGCACCTTTTGCCACCAGGAGGTAAAATTGTTTCGCTAAATAAACCTCCTACCCAGTTGTCCAACGCGCCCCGCCGTAAAATTGCAGCGTTTTAACATTGCCAGCCCCATAGTCTCCAAAGACGGCACACCACCCCCGGAAACCCGCCCCTTTGTTCTCGGCTCCGCAGGTTACAAATGTACGGTATTTAGGAACGCTTGCGCCCTATCTCTCGCGATACGTCTCCTCACTTTTGGGGCGCATCAATCTAGCTCCACACCCCCTCCCCCCCTCAGCAGTTTGTTTTAGCTCTCCTTCTACACGCATATATATATAAGTCCTCTCTCTTTCTCTCTCTGTCAAGCTACAGCTTTGCGAGACTAAAGGTGTGTACCTAAAATTCGTCAAAATTTCACCAGAGCTGGATCCGTCACCTTCGTCGTAGATCGCACAATTAGCCCCGGGGACCTCGACAAGCCCAAGGAATGCCAATAAATATTGGGAACCCAAGAACTTGGCACACATATTTCGCGTTCCTACGCAACCCCCTTCCTCTTTCTGTTCCACCTAGCGGCATAAATCTGATCCCATTATTCCCCGGCCACCTTTTCATCACACACCCATTCGTTTATCCTCGGCTCTCTTTGTCCATTTAACGAGCCACCCTTGTGCATAATTCCCTCGTTTTCTTACATTACGTGTGCACCATCCCTCTCCCTATCTCTGTTCTCCGTCGAAAGAAAGATCTTTGTGCAGGACATAACAAAGAAAGAGAGACGCGGACGAAGCGCATCCGAAGAAGCTCTTTTCCCATAGCTCGCTGAATCGTCGAGCTTACAAATATCCTTCCATCCTTTGACGCAGTTTGGTATATATGTACGCGTACAATATGGTACTTGTATGCCTTATACTGTGCTGTATGAATATTTGATCGTGAATTTCGCGAGTGCCCCAATACCGTGTACCTGCTGCTATATATTGTAATCCGCTAACACTAAGCACTGCCTCTGTTGTGCTTACACTTTATTTGTTTACCTCGTCCTTTTGCTCATGATTAATCGAGAAAGGGAATTATTGACTCCAGATGTATGTATATATTCGTCGTGATGGTACACAATATTGTGGAATCCTATGTGGTTTGGAACGGTAAAGCCTCGTTTTACATTCCTTTTGGTGGTATGTATTCGGAGGAAATCATATTCTATTTTATATTATACGTCCCAGTCCCTGGTGGGCTTTGTGGTCATTTTTCAGAGCCAAAGCTCGTCGATGCTGGTCATATTGAAATGTACGTAAAAAATGTATAGATACTGGGGTAGGAAAAAAAAAAAAAAAAAAAAAAAAAAAAAAAAAAAAAAAAGAGTACATCGACCAATTTGATGCCGAGGGAGTATACGATGTATCCGTACGAGAAAAAAAAAAAAAGAGAGTTATTGCAGCAGCAGGTGTTTCGGTATATCCGAGCAAATCCTATTGGAGCAGTGTAAGTCTGGCGAGGGAGCGTCGAAATTATAGGGATATGGGTGGGTACACCGAGTTCGTTCGTACATGGTATACGTATAATGTACCGCTGTACTACTTAGTATATACAGGAGAGAGTAGAGAGGAGATTTTTTTCCCGCGTGACTACTCACAGCGCTACGTATCGCATTTTTCGCTCGTACCCGTCTCGATGAAATTGATATGCACTGCCTGATTTTATACCGATATTTTCTTGTAAAGTAGCTACAATGTCCAATTTTTTTTTTTTTTTCCTCAAAACGTATGAACAAAAGGATGTAATGGCACTTTAGGCAGTATACCTTGTACCCTGAAATACGTTGATATGAAAAACAAAAGTTTGCACCTTATACACTCTATCATTTTTAAATTTTCAAGATGGTAAAGATCGTTGTTTTAAACGAACCCTGTTGATAATGTATTGGTTCTCATACGTTTTGTATTGTTATAACAATATCAAATCAACTGTGATGAATAAAAAAAAAATTATCATAAACTTACAGAAACTGCCTGGTCGGAATGGCTTACCACGTGAAGATCTCGGATTTCGGCACCGACAACGAATTATACGCCTGTGATTACTATAAAGTCGACGGTGGCATGACCCTGCCCGTCAGATGGATGGCCTGGGAATCCTTGGTTTTGGTAACTCTTTTCTCTATCCCTCTTCAATTTTTCATTAAAAAAAAAAAAAAAATGCAAGCAATATCGACATCTACGGACACACATGTACATCACATATTATTTTTTTGCCTCGCAAAGGGTAAATACACGACAAAGAGCGACGTGTGGTCGTTTGCCGTGACGCTGTGGGAGATCCTTAACCTGGGCAGGCGTGTGCCACACGAGCACCTAAGTGACCAGGAGGTAGTCGACCGTCTGCGCAAACTATGTCGAGACTGCAGTGCCTGTAGCGACGACGCCTCGCAGATCAAGAGCAGCGAGGAGGAGGACAACGACGACGACGACGAGGAGGAAGAGGAGGACAAGGTCTACAATTTGTTTTACCAATAGACAAACGCTGCAGTTAGATTGGCCCAATGAATGAATGATAATAATAATAATATTCTTTGACAGGTGACCTCGAGGTTCGAGCATCTGCCAAAGCCATTGGCCTCGTCGAAGGACATCTACGACCTGATGCTCGAGTGTTGGCGCAGGGACGAGTCGGAGAGGCCGACTTTTCGGGAGATATCGCTCTTCTTGCAACGAAAGAACCTCGGCTACGCGCCCACGACCGCTTCCTGATTCTGAGAGCGCGAGATCGGCCTGCTAGCCGATCGACGAGCAGGTGCCACCCCCGTCACCGCCGATCGTGCCACCCAAGCGCAAGTGACGGCCTCCTGATCCGAGACCCGATTGTCGGACCACGAGTTTTTCATTCGCCGCACCAAAATTTGAGGTGCAGGACCGGCGTTAATTGCTACCCTCACGTCTGTGGTGGGAGCGGTCATTTTTGTACAGAGTTCGAACAACTCCCAAGTATTTGTTCTTAATTGGTTGGGATTTCGTTTGTCAAACCAAGAGAAACATCAGCGACTGGGTATTGTAAACGTTGCGCAAATGCATGAAAACGAAAAAAAAATCCGAGCACGTTTACGAACAGCAAACTCATAGTGCTTGATTATGAGGTGTGAGAGGCATTAGTTGTATAATGCGAGGCGATGGCCTGTGAACATTCCTGTACCGAAGAGCTGTGCGTTGTGTTATTCGTACGATGGTTTTTTTTTTTTTTTTTTTTTTTTTTATTCAATACACCATCGGATACCGTAAGTATGGATGGTTGAGAAAAATGCGCAATCGAGGTGTTTTCGAGGTGAGTCACGGTGTTGACCAACTCACTGTTTGCGAGGACGAAGTAAGAAGTGAATCTTGTTTTTCGCTTTAACAGAGCTTTACTACTTTTAATTGACGAACAATGCGACTTGAAAATGTTGCAAGATGCACGAGATTGTAAATACCACGAGATTCGAAGATGTGCTCGTGTTGATAGAACTGTGAAGGTGATCCAAATCGTTATATTTTACGTTGTGCGGATAATTGAGAGACCGATGGCATAGTGTAAAAAATATTGTACAAGAATTTTTTTTTTTTTTTTCATTGCAAAAGCAAAAGAAAATTTCTTTGTAAAGTAAAGGGATGGAAGAGTGCGATCTTACGCGGCACTTTAAACGAAATACCATGGCTATGACACATCATAAGGATAAATTTATGTAATAAGCGGGATCAATAAGAAACTAAGGATATTGACTGTAAATAAGCGTAAGAGTTAAGGTTCGTCTGTATAAAAAAAAAAAAAGAAATAAATGGTGTTGATATAAATTTTATCCACTTATAAAAATACAACTCTATATCATCATTAATTGTTTGATCCTCGACAAAAAATAAAAGAAATGAAGATAGAAAATATCAATGGAAAGACGTAAAACGACGAAAACAGAAGTATACACATATATAAGTTAACGAAATCGTTTACATATCCGATATGCCGTAAATTATTTTTCTCAAATTGTCGCGAGCACATATACATGAGTATATAATGTTAGGTAATGACGAGGCGAGGTTATTCGTAAGCGTAAATTAGTTGCGTAAGAAACAAGAAATCATAAGATTAGTACCTATGTATAATGTATTCTTGAGAAAAACTACACACGCTATAGGATACGTTACCGTTGTTGAATTCAAATATTATTTATGTAATTGAAATAAAATATGTCTAAGAAATTTAGGGTAGGTTGAAAAAAAAAAACATAGGGATATGTTATGAAAAAAATAAAAATTATATTATATGTATACATAAGATGACGTATTTTGAGTGTAAGTATAGCGCTGCCTTCGACTAAAATTGTTACCCCTAACTGCTACGTAACAAATAAGAAGTATGTTACAAAAAAATTTTGTTTAAACTTAAATTGGAAATATCCATTACCTACTTCTACGTACTATATTTATTGTCACAAAAAAATCATATTTATACTATGTTTTCTTAGATAAAATAATTTCTGATTCGTTTACAAAAGTAAAAAAGTTATTAAAAAAACCATTACCTGTTATGAAAAAACAGATTTTCCATTTTGATCATAAAAACAGAAATCACATTTTATAGCAAAACATACTTCTTGATTTGTCTACTCATGTGATAACTTTTATGTCTCTCTGTGTACCTACTGACCTAAATCTATCGCCTGGAATGTTCATGGACTTCAACCTCACTTATATTTAGATTATTAAAATAAATTAGGAAACAAAAGGTAAGAAATTGATTAAATTTAACGTAATAAAAAAAAACCACTTCCAATTGATGAATGTGGTTGAAATTAGAATTTCACAGTTGTGTGCCTAGCATTTTAATGGCATCAAACCGAATGACGCATACGTTGAAAACAAATAATCGTAGCATAAACATACAACCTGGTCAATAAGTCTTGAATGAACAAAAATTTGAAAATAAAAATACAAAAGCTAAATAAATATTTACGAAAATGATTCAAAAATTGTTTAAATAAAAAAGTAAATAAAACCTTACATATAAAGAATTTGAATGTGTAAATGAAAAATTGTTGAAAAAAAGGAATTATTCATGCTTGGTACGATATTTTCTCGAAAAATGCAAAACAATTAATTTAAAAAGTTTCTATCCAATACCGTTGCAAAAAAAAAGTCGCACGAATCATAGAAATCACTGCCCCCTCGATAATTATTATGCCGTTAGACATGTGTTGAGCCATTGAGCGGATGATAAAAAAACTTGAAAATAAAAAAAAATAAAAAAATCCGATGGCAATCATATTGCGCCGCTTTGAACTTAATCACCGCAATCGATATGTTTGACAATCGCGCTTAAGCCTTGAGACTGAAATGTTTCGTTGTTAAAAATTATATAGTATTTAAATCATGATTACTTTTAGTTTGATACTCTTGAAACTCATTGCTGTTCAAAAAACGTAAAAAATAATCCACGATTTTTTTTAACTCTTGGGTTAATGAACAAAGCATTTTCTATTGATTAAAATTATGCTTACCTTCTGTATTGATCATAAAATTTTTAATTTTGCAACTGTATATTCAATGTTAATTCATTTTTTTTTATTTTTAATCCTTACGACTATTCTGTAAATAAACACTGCCATCTGCGCCTAATAAAATTGAAAAAAAACATCCTTTAGCGTAACGTATGGAGTGACATTAGGAAGCGTGATCGTGTGCAACGACTTAGAATCTATATGGCCTGTATATTGTAAGCTATAACACGATAAAGAGAAAAAAAACTTTGTTGATAGACTTATGCATGTGTAAATACTTCGATTAGGGATGAACTAGTCATTTGTGACGTTACAACTGATTTTTATTTCACACTTTCTATTTATGACTCAAATTTAAAAAGTGTAATCCATACGGATGAGGGATTCTCTTTGAAACCATCGGTTTATATTTTTTTCTTAAATTTTTTTAGTTTGATGTTCAGCTTTATCAATAGTTTTAGATAATAAAGTTATTAAAAAAAAATTAGTAATGATAAGAAATCTCTTGATAAGGTAAACAAGTATGTTCGTCTATAATGTCTAATCAAATCGATTGTTTGATCCTGTGCAAGAATCGAGTTTTTAACACAATTTTAATTTACTACACTTTGTGAATCACAAAGGTACCAAAACTTTTATAATTACCGCGTGTAATGGACTAAATATTCTTTGAATAAGTTAAAAATTTCGATTACTCATGTAAAAATTTATTGTTGAATTTTGCACAGGATATGAACGATCGGTCCTTTATTTAAACGACTGAAAATTGTTGCGTTACATCGAAACAATAGACGTACTTGTCTATGAAGCCATACGATAATTGTTCATCACATACGCGATACGTTTCAACTTTGTAGGAACATAATGATAACTGAGATGTATTATGCAATAAATATTGAAGAGTAATAAATTTAATTACTCAAAATACTATTTTGTTTTTACAACTCATTTTTTACCAAACACCTTTTTTTTCGCACTCGTCTTTTAAAGAATAGTACGTAACGAGTTATTTGCTGATTCAAAAGATAATAATACATTGATTTTAGTTGAAGAATTTAAAACATTTTGTTTATATTTGAAATTTTTTACGATGAGCAGATTAACCAACATAAAAAAGTTATCTACAAAAAGCACTAAATGAATCTTTTTTCCCTAGATCTGAGGAATGTGAAGCACACCTGTTCCTGAAAATGTATTATTGAGTGTTAAAATACGAAAATATAAACAAAAACATATTAATCATAATACTTTTACTTGTTAATATCATTGGATTTTTGTTAATACAACTAAAATCAAAGTATAACAAAATTTATTTGCCTTAACCATTGGTTGAATACATTTTAGTATGTGGTACTTTATTCCTTATTTTAAATTTCCCCGCTTTTTCGTGGCTCACTCACAACGAACACACCTCACACCCGCGTCACCAGCCCATTTTGTTCTGCAATGCAGTTCATGTTAGGTGTTACAAGTGTTTATTTAATGTTAACTACATTTAGCAAAATTCAATCAATAACCGTTTCTTCAATGGTAAGTAATTGGCGTGTAGCTAAACGTAATTTCACAGCAATTATAAAATCATAGTCTTATGTATCTCAATCCCCCCAAAACTATGTATAATCATCATTTTTACAGTTGTCATTTTTAAGGTTAAGTTGTGGCATTTACATTTTAACAGCTAAATTGTTCTTATAACTATGTAGCGTGTGGTGTCGATTGTGATTTATAATTATTAATTTTGGTAAAATTTAAATCATTAATCATGCGAAGTTGTTGTAAAGTATTTATGGTCTGTACCTAGAGATGAAACATCAGATAACAATTATATGATCAATTATCCATCAGTAGATCCTTGCTTATCAAACTATAGATCATACAATGTTTTACAACTACCAAAATAATAGTAAAATGCTAATTAAGTAGTATTCAATGAATTCACTTCATGCTCTTAATAATCTTTCAGATACACCTTTGACATGAACTAATTGGTTGATGAAGCAGTCCAATTTGCACTGATACATTCTGTAAGTATGTGTTTGATCCTTCGTACACTATTACATAGCTATTTTGTTCAAATCTGTTTGTATGCTTTTAACTTCTCAACTAACTGCAACTTTTTATGCACACACTCAAACATTCCAGATTTAAAAGTATTCTACAATTGAATTTGCATTGAGTTATTTTTATTAAGTTATCAGAAGCGAAGGTACAACAAACGGAAATATAAATGAAGCAGAAAAACGTAGTAATTCAAGATATTAAGCCAAGAAATACCCAGAACATTATCAGTAGTTAGAAAGACGTGATGGCCTCTCATAGTTTTACACGGTACAATCTTAAATATGTACAAATAAACTGACGTATTTCGACCCAAGGAAAAGCATAGTAGAATCCTCTGAGGTAGTCTTGCAACGAATAGTCAGGAGTTTTCTTTGCAATCCAAACTTTGTTAGGCAACCGTTTCTAAAGGACCTCATTTCCACAGGTCTCTTATGTTAACAACACACAACTCCCCCTCACCTAGTCTTTGATGAAGAAGCCGTTGTTGCTGGAAAACATTTGTAAAATTCAAAGTCCCTGGCGCATAATACACATGCAATGGCAGGGTTCGCGAGGCTTCGTAAATAAGCAACGAGTATTCTTAACTCGAGGGAACGAAGAAAACAAGATGTGTATAAACAAAGTCACATCTCGAGCAGGAAAATTGTAAGCGTGTCACGTGAATGCAGAGGCCGGGAATAAACTTGTACAGCAGCGCGAATCGAGACGGAAACTTTTGATTGCAATGGGTGTATATAAAGCCCCACAGTTGACTTGGCTAAGAAAATAATCAAGTTTTTTTTTGCGATCTAACATTCCTTTTGCGTTTTTCCCGAAAATTTTCATTAAGTAATTTCTTTTGTTTCATGGTAAATAATACTTGTCAAAAGCAAAATACCACTGAATAATAAACCCAACTTGAGATCGAGTCGTTCCATTCATAAGTAGGATAACATTCCTCCCATTAAAAAGTTGAATGGAAAATAAGGACCTTGCATCTAAATAAGTACATAAAAAGTGTGCAGGCACCGTTGCAAAAACCCTTAACATTACAAATATGATACACTTTGGTACAAAGTATACTCACTACATTTAAGACATTTTTCACACAAATACCTCAACGGTTTTTCAAGTCTTGTCTTTTTTCCTTCAGCGTGATCTTCCATCAAACTAACATTTCACAGCTGCCACGTACCACAGCATCGCACCAACCATCCCCCGGTCGACTGATGCGCGATTCCCAACCCTGAGCTCACCCTTCGGAGTTCTTGAAGAAAACGCGATACGACAAACTATGCGAGACAATCGAGGATCCTTGGGGCCGTCCGCCCGAGTAATTCGCATTCCCAGCCACTATCGCATTTGTAACTTGTGGATCTGAGAAATAGCTTCTACCCCGCGGGATGAAGAACGATACGCCCGAGATACGAAGGAGAATTCCTCCAAGAGCGCCCTTACCGTGTTTCATTGCCCACCCAATGTGTGTACCCTCTAACGCGTACTCTCACGTTGAGGCCTCTGGCTCGATTAATCGCGTGTCCTGCCACGTGATTCTATGCAAATGTCTTGAAGGATTACTTTCTACCTTCTTATCCGTACTTGGATGCATTTGCAAACTTTTTGGAGCACTGCGTAATAAAAGCTCTGAGTGTAAGATTAAGATTTACTTGGGGTACTCTTGTACAGGTGCATTTGACTCCAATTGCATGCAAAGCCGATGAAAGCCTAATGTTAAGGCTTTTAATTGCGTTGTTGATCAATACTCTGATAGTATCAAAGGATTTTCTTTTGCTTTTTTTTTTTTTTTCACTTTCCCCAAGTTTGTAGCCAAAGTAAAATGTCGCAAAGTTGTTTCCTCGTTTTTTTTTCTCAATCTTTAGTTTTTTAGTTTTTTAATTAATGTTTTGTACATAATTGTTATCAGTAGACAATACTAGTTGGTAATGCGTCTTAAACGTCTATCCGCCATATACGATTTAAAAGAGTTTAGGTTTTGATGGATTATGAAATTAGTATATTCAGAGTGTCATCGGTTGAAATCACATGGTGTACTTTTTTCTGACTACATCAAACATCAACGAATCTCAAACTGTTGGCAAATATGTCCCATGATTATCTTTACAGTCGTATAGATTGAGAATCAATTGTAGTAATCAAATAAAATAAAAGAACGAGATAATACTCAAGTTCCTGGAAATCTCAATCGTATATGAGCTGCAAGACGTTCAAGATATTACCTGTAGCTCATAGTTGAAGTTTGTTGATATTCAATGAATAATCGTACCGTTTCCTGCAGGTGACATCTGCCTGAACCAAGGAATTTAAAGATGACAAGTGGCAAACGTATGTCCATCTTTGATCGACTGTACGCCAATCGCCTAGAAAGAGGACACTTTTTTTCAACTGCAGAACCAACCAGTGCACCATTGCTGCCCAGATCCATCAATCATGCCAACAGGCTCTTTAACCCTCACTACGAGCAAAAGATCCAAGGTCGTCGTATGAACATACCACAACTACCGTTTCAGAACAAGCTGCCCCCGTATCAGAATAAGCTATCACATTATCCAGGCAATCCACCCCCGTTCCAGAACAATCTACCCCCGTTCCAGCTCAAACCCCAACCATACCAGAACAAGCCACCACCATACCAGATCAAGCCGCAAGCTCATCAGAGTAAGCCTCAACCTTATGAGATCAAGCCACCACTTCTTCAGAGTAAGCCACAACCGTTTCTGATCAAGCCACAACCGTTTCAGAATAAGTCACTACCGTTTCAGAATAAGCCACAACCTTTTCAGAATAAGCCGCAACCGTTTCAAAATAAGCCACAACCGTTTCAGAATAAGCCACAACCGTTTCAGAATAAGCCACAATTGTATCAGAGCCAGCCAGCGCCAGTACGGAGCACTACCGAAGGCATTCCTTCTCTCTTTTCTCCTCAACCACTACCTCTTTTTGATCCTGAAACGATAGAGAAACGAAGAGCTAGTCTCCAGTCTGTCAACAACAAAGCGAATAAACCCTCCAAAGAGTCAAAGGATGACAAAAATCAATGTGTCCAGAACGACGAGCAGAAACAGGACCAGAACTCGGCCAAGAAGCAGGAGTTGGATTCCAAATCCGACCTAGCAGTAAAACAAGAAGATAAAGACCAGCCCGACCAAAATGCCGCAAACGAAGAATTGGACGTTGACGAGTATCTGCAAAAAGAAAGAGAAACAAAGAAACAAATTGATGACATAATAAAGGTGGCTCAGGCGTTGCGTGAAAAACTTGATAGGGAGAAAGGAATGAAGCTGCAGGCGCTCGAAATCATCAGACCGCAATCGGACAGTGGCTCCCAAGACGACAAGGAGCCGTCAGCCAAAGATGCCGCGACTCCATCAGGCTGCTCTCGAGACGATCAAGCCTTGGAAGATCTCGCGACTTCATCTGGCGGCTCCCAAGATGATCGGGAGCCGGCCTCTGAAGATCAAGCAGCTTCAAAAGGTGGCTCGTTGCCCGATAAATCTACTAAAGCCTCTTCGCAGCCAGAAATTCCACGACTGATGGACCTCAAACCTATGGCATCGATCAAGTCAAATCAAATACCAAGTCTGATGGACCTATGCGTAGCACCACCCGCGCCGCCGATTAAGAAATTAATGTTGAGTAGGTACGAGCCTGGGCCGTTGAACGTTTGCTGGAACTGTGGAAGACATGGCCATAGTTTTTTGAGCTGTAGATTTCCAAAATTGAGACAATTTTGTTTTCGCTGTGGTAGGCCTCAAGTTGACCTTCCATCTTGTCCTAACTGTAATAACTTTTAAACATACCGAAGAAAGGGTTATCATTTTAATGAATTTTTGGAATATTCTGATGAATGAAAAGAATGATGAATATGTTTTTAAACTTAAGATATATTAGTAATGCACGAAGCTTTGATGGTTTTTAGTCTTAAAAATTTTCCACTATAATTTTGTAACTTTCACAACGTTTGTCTTGCTGTTATTTCCCCCCCCCCCTCCGTCTACTTGGCATTAAAACAAATGTTTTTATGACTCTTACAATTGTCAAATCCGAAATGAAATATCGGTACTAGTCAAATATAAATGTACTACTTTCTATCACCACTTCTATTTTTTTAATTATTTTGAATGAGTAGTAGAGAAAAGTTTAAAAAAAAAAAAACGTGTAATGCCAAAGGCAGCAAAAAATTGTAATTAAAAGAAAAAAGTTCCAATGTGCTAAACAATTCACGATAACATAGCCGTGCAAGCAAACAATTTTTTTCCAACCAACTCACGAAGTGTACATGTAATAATAGTATTTGTAATCGATGCTTCATGTAAAATGCTACGTAAAATTTTTGATAAATAAAAAGTTAAAAAAAAAAACTCACCCTCGTTTGTCACGTACCACGCATTAATGATTTCGTTTGAATATATTATCTCGTTTAGGTAAGTTGTGTAAGCTGTCCATTGTTCCGTGCAATACTATTTCCACGAAACAATTTCCAAGCGTCCTTCACGACACATTACACAATTCACCTTAAAAACAACAATAATTTGATTTAGTACCATTTGCAATGAGCCACGGGTGTGCAGCATTGAATCGACGATAATATACATGCAGATTTGTCGTTCGTTTAATTAACGGCATCTCAACCCAACTCTGGGGACGCCAGTGAGTCGTTATATTATATCCTTTTTGTAGTAGCGTCAAATCAATGTTACGTCCCCCAATCAAACGCAGATTTGCAAGTGGGCGAATCGGTTGCGTAAGTTTCCGCCTGTGTAGCGAAATGACGCAGTTTATCCTCGTCAAATCGAAATCGGCTCAACGGGAGGCAGGAAAATTCGAGAAATTTCCAACGTATACCTCGTTGACGTCACGGGCCATTATTCTTGTTCACCTGTAAAGTAATTTTTTTTTTGCTTGATAATTTTACTACTACTAACATTACAATTTAAAAATTCATAACATTTCATATCCCAACAAAATAACATCACGTTTCTCCAAATCTGTTGATTACACGATTCCACGTTGTTTTATGATGCAACAAAAAGATCTTACTCCATTATTTTCCGACGGCTAATAATCATATGGCTTTTTGGACAAAATGAAAATTTTATATCATACAAACAGATTTGCCTTGCGCTCCAATGAGTAGCGAATATAAAGAGAAAAAAAGTACGCGATAACATTGCCGATTTTCAGATTAAACAATGCCATAACACGACGCACAAAAAACTTTCTAGGAGACCATAGATACTTCTATGCATCCTAATACAGAGGGTGATGAAAAAAACCATGCACGCCTCGATTTACCTGATCCTCGCGAGTTTGTTATTGCACACGTGCACGTGCTCCAGTAGCGAAACTTGCCCGGCTAACCGGGACAGCTCGTGCGACAACAGTTCCGATACCGATATCTACTCAAAAGGTATATTTTGCCCTGCAGCCCATAATTTTTTTTTTTTTTTTTTTTTCGAAAGCACAAAGTTTCTCGAAACGAGGCGAATATCGTGTTTTATCTTTCTTTGTTTCTCCAGCGGCGAACGAAAGATACGCCAAACTATTGGCAACGATCGAAGCTGCCGAGGCCAATTACGTCGAGTGCGAGGGAAAAAAGTGCAACTGCTTCGCCGAAGTGATAACGAGGGACTTGAAAATTTTCGCCGGGGGAATCGAGCGCAAGTTAATCGAAGCCGCGAGGCCCAGGTGAGAACTGAGGCGCGTAGAAACATCCCATCCTTAAAGTTACCGATTTCTTCTTTTTTTTTTCGATTGCCAGAGGCACCTTTTACCAGATAATCAACGGGGAACTGTACAGAGAGAAAAACTGCATGTTCCCGTCGCGATGCGCCGGCGTCGAGCACTTCCTTTCCAAGTTGTCGGCCAACACCTCCGACGTAAGCCTGGTGATCAACGTGCGCGACTACCCTCAGTCGAGCAAACACTTTGGCGAGCCCCTACCCGTATTTTCGTTCAGCAAGGTCAGAGCCGACCCTTCCATTGTTTTTTTTTTTTTTTTTTTTTTTTTTTGAGAAGAAGCTCTCGTGAACTGGAGCTTTGGTTTTTCCAGACGCCCCAGTATTACGACATAATGTACCCAGCTTGGGCCTTTTGGGAGGGAGGCCCGGCCATTTCCCTGTATCCTCGTGGCCTCGGTAGATGGGACCTGCATCGGAAGTCACTGAAAGAAGCCGGCGAGAGGGTGCCTTGGGAGGATAAGGAGACCAGGGCGTTTTTTCGGGGCTCGAGAACCAGTTCCGAGAGGGACAATCTCGTGCTGCTGAGTCGCGACAAGCCGCACCTCGTCGATGCTCAGTACACGAAAAATCAAGCTTGGAAGTCGGAGAAGGTGAGTCGTCCATATCTTGCTCGTGCTGCAATTGTCTGATGAGATCTCTGATGAGAAAACGTATGGTACGACTTTTATGTCGTTAACTCGTTAAAATGTAAATATAGCCGAGAAATTTCAGGACACGTTGCACATGCCACCGGCTGTGGAGGCGTCACTCGAGTCCCACTGCTCGTACAAGTACCTCTTCAATTATCGAGGCGTCGCGGCCTCGTTCAGACACAAGCACTTGTTCCTCTGCGGCTCCCTCGTCTTCCACGTTGGCGATGAATGGACAGAATTTTATTACGACGCCATGAAGCCTTGGATCCATTACGTGCCCGTGCCCAGAGACGCCTCCCAACAACAGATCGAGTACGTTGAGCTCTTTTGTTTTTCTTTTGTCCCCTCTTGCTTTGCATGTATACATGTATTAAAGCATGCTATTGCAGGTGAGGGTTCGACAATGATTACACAGGTCAGCTTTGTCTAATCATAAAATACCTGTATAGGAACTAAATTAACAGATCCGTTATTTATCGGTTGATTAATTTAAGTTTTTTTTACGCCTTCCGTGCTTCTGCTACCAATAAAAATTTTGTTATTTTAGAATATTGATGTGTTTGAGAAAAATCAAATTTAAATTCGGAGCTTTTCGGTTATCTTGCATAATGAAAAATTCGCGAGATCGTTGTTAAAAAACACTGCTCAAGAACATGATAATGTGTCAATGAAGGGATTAACTTTTGTATGCTTTGATTGTGTTCCTTGAAACAGGAAAGTTTTGATATTAAGTTTTAATTTTAGGGAACTAATACAATTTGCAAAAGACAACGACGCAATTGCTAAGAGAATCGCGGAAAGAGGACGCGATTTCGTTTGGAGGAGACTTAAATTGTCGGATGTGACATGTTTTTGGAAAAAGCTCGTTCGCCGGTACTCCAAGTTGTTCAAGTACAAGCCAGCACTGGAAGAGAATTTGATCAAAATTTCAAACAGCTGAAGGTGAAGAATAAGCTAGAGTCCATAATCTTAATATCTCCTTGGGATTATATTAAATTTTTTATTATTTTTAGAAATCAATACAAAGCTCAAGAGGCAAAACTTATTTTAAGCTCGAATTTGATGCTCTCGAATCTCTTTATTACATATCAATACATCGGTATCAAGAAAATGACACGATACATGGAAGGAGAAAAATATTCACTTACTATATAACTCCAGTTATATCACAAGATACCACAAGATCAACATTATCCACAGTGCCTCGTGAATGTACATGTGATAACAATGTTTTTGTTATAACTTATATTAAAATAAAAAAAGACAATTTTCCAGACTTTGGAAGGATTGTGGCTTAGCACATATACATATTATAGAGACGTGATAAAATGCATTTATTCATTTAAAAAATATAAACAATTTTCCGATGTTATAAAAAGAATTCAAATAAAAATATATACGAAATGAATAACAAGCCTTATTTTACCTATGAATAATCATCTAAAACGAACAAACCAACGTATACGAAGTAGAAATATTAATGAAACTGAGGCTCCACATTTGTCCCGAAGAAAAATAAAATGGAATCTTCAAGTGACAGCTGATGTACAAAGTGTATTATAAATGGCACCTAAAGATCAACGCGTACAACGTCTCGGGTTCCCTTGTAGCTAGGGTCTCAGAGCGTCGTTACATAATCCACGAGTTCTTCTCTCCTTCACCCCCACCACTCCCTCCACCCGCAAGCGATTGTGAAGTTCTCTCTCGGGAAAACGAGTTCCATTCCGGAAGCCCTGACGTACTCCTCTCCCTCCCACCCTCCTTTCCTTCTTTTCACGTTTATGCCCATCGAGTGAGCTATCTCCAGACCTATACCACCTAGTGGGCATGCTCAGCGGTCGAGAAAAAGACATCACTTTTCAGAGTATATTAAAAAAGTGCGGTTGAATCGCCTACCTGGAGCTCATACTTACATCTATTCGATTGCTTATTTTTTTACTTTAAATATTACATTTTTTACCATTGTGTTACTTGATTATAATCTTTTTTTTTTAATTTCAAACAACTTCTATGAATTCGAAAATTAATTTTTTACTACTAAATTTCCAAAACGGTCAGAAATTGTATAAAGCCCTTTCAATAAACGAAATGAAAATTTATTTTAATTTTCTGTAAAACTGTTACTTGTAACAAACGATCTCTGATGTTCTTAACAAAAAACTTTTTATTACATAGCCTCCTGCACAAGAACAAAAAAACACAAAGTTCTAACTAGTCAACGAAAAACGGTCTAAGCCTCACTTACTGTGTACTTACATGCAGACATGCAGTAAATATAGATCAGGCAAACTCGGCCAGAGCACCGACAACAACTTCTGCCATCGCCGGTATGGAAATGCAAACGTAGGAATATGCAAAAACGAGTCGTCGAAACAGCTCGAGGTGCTGCTCGTTAGAGTTGAGATGGTCAACATCAGCAGGCGTCACGCTGTCGTTTTCGTCAGTTTGAGGCCAACGAGGGTACGACTCAAACTTTGATCTCTGAGGTCAGTACTTTTGTTGAAAACAAGGATTCCTCTCTTCTTCAGGAAAAAAGGTTTATTGCGCTTATAAAATAAATTTTAGAGGGTTATATATCTTTCTTCTCACGAGCACAATAGAGTGAAAATCCTGAATTTGGTCGAGGCAATTACAAAAGTGTCTTGCGGCTATGAAAGGGCATATTACGAAGGTCAACAGGCGAGTAAACCCTACTATTTTACTTCTTCTTCTTCTACTTCTTCAAGTGTAGTTTGGAGTACTAATTTTTTTATCCCTGCCGTCCCTCTCATCAATTTTTTTTTTTTTTTTTTTTTTTCCTTGACAGGATTTATGTAACGAGACGGCTTGGTCTACTTGTGATGGAAAAATGGATGAGTTCGAGAGACTCCTATTCTATTGAAAAGTTCTCTTATTGAATTTGTCTTTATCTCTGCCGTGATTGAAGTTTGAACAAGTTTTGTTTTCATCAGTGAGTGGTATTTAAAAAAATCAATCGATATTCAAATTGGCATTCAAAGTTTCTGTCTATAGTTATTTAAAGTTGCTTTGGAATAATACATACTTTTGTTGAAATTAAGGCGTTCTATTTAACTTTTAAGAAACGTAATTTAAAAAGTATTGAGTTTGATGTTTCCTTGAAAAAATTTCATAAGATTCATTAGGGAGATAATGAAAAAATTGATACGTATGAAAATTTTTCTACTTTGGAACATTAAATGAAAATTTCAGTCGCCTTGTATCTTAGTCAGTTTTATTATAATTATTATTATTTTATATTTTTTTGGTACCTGAAACTTTAAGAAAAAGAAACCAACACTGATCCATAAATTCGATACTATGTTAGTAGCATAACCAGGACTCTAAGGGCGAAGTATTGAGCCTGTCGTAACGGTTCAGCATGTGTCTGACTATTCATAGGTTTTACTACTCACTTTAAATTTGATACCATTGGTAGCATAAATAGGACTCTAAGGGCAAAGTATTGAGCCTGTCCTAGTGATTCAGCGTGCGTCTGACTATTCATAGGTTTTACTACTCACTGTTAATTTGATACCGTTGGTAGCATAAACAGGACTATTAGGGAAAAAGTGTTGAGCCAATACTTGAGATCCAGCGTGCGTCTGACTATTCGTAGATTTTACTACTTACTTCAAATTTTATACCATTGGTAGCATAAACAGGACTATAAGGGGAAAAGTGTTGAGCCAATACTTGAGATCAAGCGTGTGTCCGACTATTCGTAGGTTCTGCTACTTGAAATGGAGAAAAACGCACGTAGATAGTAATATATTGTTATATAATTAAATTTGTGTCAACTTTATATTTGATACGTTTTCACACATCCTTATACCAGTGAATTAAAAAAATAAATCGTCCATAACCAAAACCTCAAGAACGTGAGACGTGAAACAAACATGAGATAGCTTATACAAAAGAGTTGTATCGTAGGCACTGTTCACTGGATAAACAGCCAAGGAAAAAAAAAAAGAAAAAGTCGAGGTGACAAGGAACCCAAGGAGGTTCACAGGGACTGAGTGCACGTATCTGCGAGTTGTTGGGCCAATACGAGGAGCAATGGCTTGTTAAACGAGGTCGCGCTGAGTGGCCCACGGCAAAGCCGCGAGATGCGAGCTTTTCGTTGAACAATCGTGTGTGTATCGGGTGGCTCTAGGGGGTGGAATTTGTGGACAGAAAATGAGGTTCGTTTTTTTCCATTTACAAGAGTAGTTATTGAGACGCGCAATTCCGATTTCTAGGTACGATCGTTTGAGGATTGGGTAATTTTTTTCTAAAGGTTGCTCGGTTTCATTTGCTCGTCTCTTTAGAAAACATTTTATACAATGTTACGTGATACCGGTGCAAACTTTTTTTTTTTTTAACTATTCAATACATAGTAACTTACGGTTTGCTGGCACTCTTGAAATTTTTTTGTCAAACAATGTAAATTTCAAAAATTTCGAAAAATTTCTCAGCCAGTGGGACACATACGCGCTGATCCTTAATATAAATTGCAACTTTGTTCTCCATCGCTGACTGGCAAAGGGTAGTGGAATTCCAAAAAGTCGCCCCTCAAGCCATGATAGATCGGAAAATCAGACGCGATCTTCTTCCGCATCGCGAGCTCGACCTACGGATCCATCAGCGTGCCGTGGTGGTTATTGGCTCGTGGTTTGGCCAATCATGCGGTAGATTCATGTGGTTAACGCTCGTCGCGATCGAGAGGGTAGAAGCGCGCGCAACCCCTTTTCGCTCGAAGCGAAGGCTTGACTCGCCGACAGACAGTCGGCGCGTGGAACCCGCAACGCGAGGAACTATCCGTCGTGACGGTCTGGCCAGTTATCGTATAAAGCTACTGCTCGCGGGCGAGGTATCGGTATTCATATTGTTGGCAAGCTATCGGTTTTATCCTTTTTTTCATTTTTTTTTTTTTTTTTTACCTCGAGCTACTTGTGGTGACTGTTGGCAAGTCGTGTACATTGGATGTTGGACAAGCCTCTAGTATTTATGTATGCATAAGAAAGGATTTTCACTAAAGAAGCAACGGAAGAAGCTCGAAGTAAGTACTGGAAATTTGTTTACTCTGGTAGGGGTGATGATTCAGGGCGGGGATTTCGGTTGAAAAGAAAGTTTGGCTTATGATTTGAGTCATTTCAAGGCATCGATGCTCGAATACTTCTATTTCAAAAAGTGCATTACATCTCTTTGGGAGGTAGAAGAAACAATTACCTCTTGAAAGCTAAAAAACTTGCTTTTAAATATTTATCTTTTTGGTCTGATGGTTTGATGGACAATTAGGACTCAGTTGAATAATATTTATTTCATTTTGTAATTTGACGCACGCTCGCACATCATTAATCTTTTTTTCAGCTTCACATAATAATAGCAACTTGATGAACAGCAACTGCTTTTAAACAATTTTTTTTCATTACTTGTAAATTCGAAAATATTCCAAATTCTATGTTTTGGTAGAGTAGGGATAGTCATTTTTACATTGCTTTTTATTTCTTTCTGTTATCAACGCTGAAGCTTTCATCCGTCGCCTAGCACTTTCATTAGCAAAGCTTATCGCAAACAAAGCACAAAAAATAAAACATGTACTAAATTTCTCGAAATGAAATGAAACACAGAGCATTTAACATGATTAAGCTAGTATTAAATTACTCCGAAAGTATTATTTGTTCCCAAAAACATCATCTTTAAAAATTACATTATACAACTGGGTAATGATGATTTCTTCTATACATCACCTAAATATTTTTTTTTGTAATTTCATAACGATGATAAAAAAATTTATTTTTTCAACCTTTAGTTTTTGTATAATTAACGTAAAAAAAAAAGCTTTTTATCAATCACCAATCGCTCAGCTATAAATGTCAATTTATTATGATCTATTTATTTTTGTCTCAATTGAAAAACCTTCCCAAAAAACGAAATTTGTTGTATACATTGCTTGCTAGA